TTTGCTAAACTTTGAGTGAAATTTAGCATTTCTTCCCATTATAAATGTAGGCAACAAACCAATAGTAGTATTGGTGCCTGCAACTGAAAAGCTTCTTATCACTTGATACTGTGGACATCTCAGATTTATTTATGTTCATCACCTTTAAAAAATTATAGTAGTCATTAGATCATCTCTTGTTAGATCTTATTATTTAGTGCCTTAATAAAGAAGTATACATATTACTGTGCCACAAAATTTGTTTTAGATTTTGATAATTGCATTTTATTATAATTGGTCTCTATTGATTTTCTGTCTCTTATGCATTTAAATACATTCTGAATATGGTTCCATAGATTTCCCCAAAATGCCAAAGGGATCCCTGGATTGAAAAAAGGATAAGAATCCCTAATCCAAAAACTCCCTGGGCCCCAGCTCCCTGCAGTCCTCTTGTCATGGTAGTTCTACTTCTGCCTCTACTTGTGGTAGTGCTTTTACTTGTGCCTTTGGTTTTATTATTTTAATCTATATCTGGTTCCTTATCCTCAACTTGTTTCTTTATGCTGTTCTTTAATATTATCTATATAACATAGTTTATGCTCTTGCTGTAATAATGTAGTTAGAACAGTTGTATATGTAATTTAAAAAAAAAAATCTCTTCTCTAACACATAGTCCTTCTTCTCTGGGGAAGCCTGTGGACTTGTATACTGTGCAGAAAATTTTTGCATACATTTGTTCCTCAATACTGGGCTCAGTTGTCCTCCTGCCTCAGTCTCTCAAATAGCTGGAATTAGAAAGGCGTGTGCCATTGCACTTGGCTTACAGACCCCCACCCCCTGTGGTGCTTGGGATCAAACACAGACCCTAATGCATGCTAGGCAAGAACTCTGATAATGTATGATGAGAAAATGTTTTTAAAGGTTGTAGAAAAAAATCCCACCGTAATAATTGACTAAAATAAAATTTAAGTGTTTTCTTATCTAGAATTTCAGTGTTTGAGGAAAGCAAATTTAATTGAGATGAAATGGGTAGTAAAGGACTTTGAAGCTCTTTCTGGAATAACATTTGTGATTTCTAATGTTAATGATTGTTTCATCTAATTTATGTTATTTTTATAGTTTTATATATGTAAATTTATATGAAACACTTCAAAATCATTTTACTTATTTGTCTACTCTTGAGGAACAGGGGGAGTGGTACAGGGGATTGGGATTGAACTGAGAGGAGCATTACCAGTGAGCTTTATCTCCAGCCCTTTAATTTTCATTTTGAAATAGATTCTCACTAAGTTGCTGAGGCTGGCCTTGAACTTGTGATCCTTCTGAGTCTCTGGATTCGAGCCCTTTAAAAAATTCTGAGACAAGCTTGAATGATCTTTCAGCAGCATAATTATATGAGCAGTAAAAGAGGAAAGGTTCAAGACCAGTGCATGGAATGGGGGATACCCAAGAAAGGTAGCCGAGTGGTTTAGTCATGTCTTCTTGACTACCACCAGATGGCATCTCTGTCCCAGAATGGCTAGGTTCTGTCTAGAATCAGAGTGGAGCCAGGGTGTTGAGAGCCTGCCCACCGTGGGGGTACCATTGGGGAGGGGGATTGTAATCTTACACCTTTCCTCATCCTCTAGCGTAGAGGTTTTTGGAAATTGGAAGTTTCTAAGTCAGGGAATAAAGTACAGAAAGAACTAAATCCTTGTCTTTTGTCTCATTTGATAATTTTCATTGTTTTTCCTTTTTTTTTTTTCTATACCTATAGTTCCTTCAGAAACAGGTAACATTTTTCTAACATTCACTTTGTATTTTTGCATCTTGCTCTTATAATGCTTTTGTTTCTTGCCATAGAGAATAATGGAAATTAGTAGACTGTGACTTATAGCATGGATATAGTTTGCATGCAAATTCCCACAACTTATGATTAGAATATAGCCAATTGATTTTTTGAACGTTGCAGTAATCTGGTTTCAACATTGTGCTATTTAATATCATCAGTGTTTTTTTTTTTAAACTAAAAAAAAAAAAGCTGTTAACAAATGTCTAGTATTTTATTTTATTTTTATTTATTTTTTTTTTTTAGTATTTTATTTTATAATTGTAAAATAAATCAGAGTTTGCACTAGTGGATATTGGTAACAGTGTAGAATGGAACACCAAGGCCTTTCTTCCTTCTAGTTCATGACACTGTGTTGGCCTTAAATAAGATACTTAACAACCTAGCAACTGCCACTGTCATCTCATTTTGTGCTGATGCTCCACTCTGGCCCATCTTTCACTTATCTTTTAAAAAGGACCTACTTTGGGGAAAATTTTAAAAATCAAGGAACATATCCTTTATAGAATTATACTTTCATATTTTCCCTTCCCCCATTTCTAAGTTATAGCATAATAGTTGATTTCTTTATAAGATTGATATTGTTAACAGAAGATTTTAAGATAAAAATGTAGAATTGAAAAAAACAAGTCACCTAATAATGGCCTCTTTTTTTTTTGGTACTGGGGATTGAACCCAGGGTCTCTTAACCACTGAGCCACATCCCCAGCTCTTTTTTTGTATTTTTAATTTAGGGACAAGGTCTCACTGAGTTACCGAGGCTGACTTTGAAGTCACGGTCCTCTTGCCTCAGCCTCCCGAGCCACTGAAATTACAGGCATGTGCTATCTCACCTAATGATGGCCTCTTGATACAACCTAAATTGTGGTCAGCAGAGTAAAGCCTGGTTCATTAAGGTTTTAGACACTTGCTCCCATCCACATTGGCTCCCATCTGAGGACTATATCCAGGGGAAACTCTCTACCACTGTTTTTTATTTTGAGATAAGGTCTTGCCAAGTTGCACAGGCCAGCCTTGAAGTTGCCATTCTCCTGTTCCTGCTGTATTTGTAAGTGTTGCCACCATGCTTGCCAGTCTGGGGATCCTTTTTTGATGTTGTTTAGAATCATATCATAAAAGTAGAATTAAACTATTCATTTTGTTTTGTGTGCTTGGATCTTTTCATTTGAAAACAGCTTTGCTCTGCTCAGTCCACAGTCTTTTTTAAATACTTCCCTCTCTCTTCCTTCCCCACCCCACACACAGCAATCAGAAAAAGTCTATTTTGGTTTCATAAAACTCTAGCTGCTTTGAGCTGGAATTAAAAGCATTATCTTTTTATGCTGTTTCTTTTTTTTTTTTTTAAGAGAGAGTGTGAGAGAGTGAGTGAGAGAGAGAGAATTTTTTAATATTTATTTTTTAGTTTTTGGCGGACACAACATCTTTGTTTGTATGTGGTGCTGAGGATCGAACCGGGGCCGCATGCATGCCAGGCGAGCGCGCTACCGCTTGAGCCACATCCCCAGCCCTTTTTATGCTGTTTCTAACTAAATAAATGCTTTATTCACTCGAACATAAACTTTTCAAAAACTAGTGTGGTTAAAGCATTAACAGGGTCCTATATACATTAATAGTCATGTTGACTGGTTTTACATTTTCCTATAGTCTAGTATTCTTTGTATTCTGGTGAAAATTAAAGAAATTTCAGGGTACTAATGAAGGTTATTATTTGCTGTTTCCTTGAAATATTTAATATTCTTGAATATACACACGGGCAAATTAATTTTTACAAGGAATTCCTATAACTTTAAGATGATGTAGTATAGGGCTTGATTCAGGCTAGTGTCAAATAAGGTTAGGTTTTTAGAGCCATGCCATCTCTGGCTTCCAACTGAAGATGAGGTGTTGGGAAAATAGTGTTTCCAAAGTGTAGTTGTTTTCCAGTGAATGTTTTGTCCAGTCCCCATCTGAGACCTGCTACTCTGGGGATCTCCCTCTGCACATTTTTGGCTTCAGTAATTGCTAGCAGCAATGACAATGCTGCTGTGAAGATGGCAGCAAAGCCCATAGGTGCAATGATGATTTTATTCCCTGGTGTGTATGTACACACTCCTTTTCTTACCCATCCTTAGTTTGGAATGAGAGTTAGCTAATCTTGGAATGCCCTGCCTCAGTTGGCTTGCTCAATTTTTAAAATTTTGGCATCACCTTGATCATTAGGAAAAGACTATTATAGAAGCATTACCAAATCAAAAATCCCTCTGGAATTGTTTCTTTAGAGGGAAAATTGGGTGCATTAGGCTGTTAAAGCATCCCCTCCTCTTTGGGACAACTTTTAGTAAGGGTGAGGGCACAATGACTGGGGGCCTATTTTCAGCAGAGCCACATCAGAATTATTACTGGTAGCTTGTGGTAGGTCCCACCTTATAGGTCTAAGTATTTAAATGCAAATGAATGTCTATAAAGCATTTTCTACCACTATTTAGCTTAAGTTGGGCCCACTGTCAACTTTTTAACTTTTGCCAGATTGTAGTATGGTCAGCTGAACATATGGATGTCATGCTGCCCTCACAAGGCAGTATTCCTCAGAAAAACTAGCAGAGTAGAATAGAAGAGGACACAAGTAAGTGAGAATACTTTAAAAGGAAGTGTAGGTAGGCCTGTCTGAATTTTCTGGAGACAGGTAACGGTATACAGCCTGAGCTTTATAACAAAGTGGTATCAGGAAAAGTGAATTCTAGGAAAGGAGGAGCCACTTCAAATAGTTAAATTTACTGTTGGCAAGAGTATGTTTGGATACCAACCTCTGCGTATACATGTGGATTTAGAAAGTTAAAAAAATATGTCTATATGTATTTGACTGCAAGTACTCTGAAGGTATATTAGTTAGTAGCCATTAAACAAGAAATCTTAGTTTAAATAGATGGTGGGAATTTTATGTGTCACTTGAATTATCTTTAATATAATTTAAGGAATTATGTGAGTATATTAAAATGTTTCTTGGTTTAAAATTGAAGAAAATGCCTTTGTTAATAATCATTTGTGGTATTTACTGAATTGTTCGAAAGCACACTGTTTAATGAATGTTATTTCTTTATCAGAAATTCACTTCCAAATTTTTTTTTAAATCCTACATCTTTGTTGATAATTGATGCATATAACTGTAGCCTGTTATCCAGTTGTATGATCATTCAGCCAAAACCATTCTTTACAGATGCTTTTACTGACTCTGCTATCAGTGCTAAAGTGAATGGTGAACACAAAGAGAAGGACCTGGAGCCCTGGGATGCAGGTGAACTCTCAACCAGCGAAGAACTGGAGGCTTTGGAAAACGACGTAGTAAGTAATATCTTTGTTTGGTTATCAGGCTGTGGTCAGTGTGGTATTCATTCATTCATCCTATCACTTATTTTTAATTTACATATGTTTTTGTTATTGTAAAGAATATATTTGGAGCAGCTGTTGTTATGTAAATAGAGACTTTGTCCCAGGCAATAAATAAAGAATAAGGAAAAATGTTTATTTACCACCACTACTACTACTGCTACTATTACTACTACTACTTTTTATACTTGTACTACTACTTTTTCTACTATTACTACTTCTACTTTACAGTGCTGGGGATTGAACCTAGTAACCCACGCATGCTAGGCGAGTGCTTTACCACTGAGCAATATCCTCAGCCTGTTTATTAATTTATTTGTGAGGGCTAAGCAGGGTGTAATCTATTCTTGTGTTCATTTATTATTTCCTTATAATTAAAAGATAATAAGCAACTTACAGATTTAAAGTGGAAACCATGAGAAATGCCAGTGTGTTTTGCTTTGAACACCCTGCAGAATAAGGCAACGTAAGGAGATGGTATCTTCATTGTCTGTTGACATTACCTAGAGATGAGGTGGAAGCTGAACATTTTAAGCTTCTTGTCTGAGGAAGAGAAAAGGTACTCATTATTAAGATAAATAATTAGGTTACATTATAATTAAAGTATTAAGTAAAATTTTTGGTCTTAAATTGCGATCATTCTCTGGCCATGTACTGAGGTACACTCCTATAATCCTGGTTACTTGGCAGACTGAGGCAAGGAAGATTGCTGAATCAAGGCCAGCGTGGACAACGTAGTGAGACCCTGTCTCAATATAATATAAAGGGGCTGGGCTGTACCTCAGTGGTAGAGCACCCCTGGATCCAATCTCTAGTGCCACCACTGCGTGCGCGAGCACCCACACATCAAGATCATTCTCCATAAAAAAACCCTATATCTAAGATGCCTCTTGCAACATGTTATTTTTGCTTTTCTCCAGTACACCATCTACAAATCAAATGCTTAACAGACTCTTATCTTTAGGATAAAAAGATTATAGAGATAGAAAGTGTTGGCGAATATTTGGGTTGCAAAATTTGATTCCAATTGTCTTCCGTTGACAACAGAGTATCTGTATTAAATGTTTTAAGACATAATAACTTAGTAATTATAACTAGGGCCTTTTAGTTATAAAGCCAGAAATTCACTAACTAATATATTGTTAATTAATTTTCAAACTGGGGTGGGGGGGACACTGCCAATGACCTACATCCCCAGCCCTTTTTCATTTATTTATGTTTTTGGTTTTTTTTTTGAAACAGGGTCTCATAAATTGCTGAAGCTAAATTTAAACTTTGCAATCCTTGCATCTCAGCCTCTTAAGTCTCTGGGATTACAGGCATATGCCACCATGCCCAGCTTAGTTTCCGAACTTTAAAGATTCATATATCTGAATATATCAGTTTTCAAGTAGGCATCACCTGACTTGTGTGGGGAATATGTGATGTGGATAATACATGCAAATAATTATATATGGGGATGTTTTTATAAGTGTTCATCAAAAGGGTGGAGTATGTGGCTCAGTGGTAGACTGCTAGCTTGTGTGAAGCCCTGGGTTAAATCCCCACCTCCAAAAACAAAAGCAGTATTCATCCATCAGTAGAACAAATGAAATAGATTTATGTTGCTGCCGCTCAGTATAAATATTATATATATATATATATATATATATATATATATATATATATATATTTTAAATGGTGTTGTGATAGCCAAGATTAAAAGATAATGCAAGTTGCAGAACAGTTAGATCCAATTTGAATTTTAAAGAGGAGCTGATCATATATGTATATAGAAGTCTGGAATTATTCTTCAGAAATTGTTAGTAGTAGTTATCTATGCACCCTGGGATTGGAAGATACTTTTCACTGAATGTCTTTCTGTGTGGTGTGGATTTTTTTGGTAGAATTTATATTAATTTTTATTTAAATAGTTATAAAGTCTCCATTGGTAATTGTGATTTCTGGATTTCTGGTACATACTTTAGGCCAAAGGAGTTACTTTCATGGTATAGTTACTTTGTTGTCTTATCAGGATTAATGTAGGAGGACCCAGGGTTGATTGGTGAATTTTAAGGCAAGCTTCAGTGTTGAAATTGCGATCAGAGTTTCTTTTTCTTTTCTTTTAATTTTGTTTTTGGATACCAGAACCTGAACTTAAGGGGCACTCGATCACTGAGCCACATCCCTAGCCCTATTTTATATTTTATTAGAGACAGGGTCTCACTGAGTTGTTTAACGCCTCGATAAATTGCTGAGGCTGGCTTTGAACTTGCGATCCTCCTGCCTCTGCCTCCGAAGCCACTGGGATTATAGGTGTGTGTCACTGCGCCCAGCAGTGTTTCTTGGTTAAAGCTGGGTCTCTGGTTTTGACCAGTCTAGCTTTAAAAGAAGACTTGAAGGATTAAATAGATAAGTGATTAACCAGACATTAGTATTATCAGTGAGTATTCTTACAGCATTTGCCCCAGTTGGTTGATTCTTACAGTTTAAATAATACAACCTAGCTTCTAAGAATAGTAGTTTCCTATAGTTCTTTTATGGAGCTGAAGAGTTATCTACACAGAGGTTGTAAGTTAGGGCATCTAGACTCAGAATCGCTCTTTTTGAGATCCAACATCTGCTAATGGCAAAACCGGTTCTTAAACCCAGATCTTATGATTTTTGTCTGCTGATGGCCTCATATCACACTTCCTTTGAGCATTCGAATATAGAAGGGGAGGATGGCTGGGGTCTAGTACTGTGGTCCCACTTTGAAGTCATGATGAAGTGGGGAAAACTTTGTCGTCTTTCTTCTTTTCCCCCATCACTGGAAATATTTTTGTCTGTCAAAAAGACCTTTTTTCCTTCACATACTTATGATCCATGACCTCAGGAAGTTTCTGGTAAATCTAGGTGTTTCTGTCTTACAGAAAGGTAGCTGTTAAGAGGGTAAGGAAAGGACAGAACCGTGATCAGAAAGCTCTGATTTTATGAAGTAACTAATATATTCTAAACTTTTTGAATATCATCTCAAATGATTCTATAGTTACTTACCTGTTTGAGGGGCTGATGTGGAAGAAAAATTTTTCCTTAAAATATTTTGAAAGGAAAGTTTTCCTTATTTTTTGATTTGCTAGATTTAACTAGGATAATATTACTGTAAATGTTTTAAAACTGAATTAAAGAAGATAAATATTTTATCACTTTAAAAAATGAGCTTCATTTTCTTCTAGTCTAATGGATGGGATCCCAATGATATGTTTCGATATAATGAAGAAAATTATGGAGTAGTGTCTACATATGATAGCAGTTTATCTTCATATACGTAAGTTTAAAGAGTTTGCTTTTATTTTAGTACATTTACTTGTCTTTGATGTTCATAAAATTGTGTGGAATAAATGTTGAATTTTAAGTTAAACAAATGTGTCAAAGAATTGTTCTACCTAGATCTATAAATTTCTATTAAAACAGGCAATAAATGTAGTTTCCCAATACCTAATTATTTTTATGTTTAAAATAAATTTGTTTTCAAGTTGTAAAATACTGCATTGAAAGGGTCTCTATTTGATGAATAGTTCTTGAAATACTGAATGTTCTTCCATGTATAAAATGGTAACAGGAAAAAAATTCAGATTTTTGATTTAAAAATTAACAAGCACCATACTTTTACAGTTTTCTAGTATACCAGACTAAACTTTCTTAATAGTTGATTATGACAGGTATATAAACTATTACTTTAAAATCACTTTGCTTTTCTTTTCCTTATGTTTTAGGGTACCCTTAGAAAGGGATAACTCAGAAGAATTTTTAAAACGGGAAGCAAGGGCAAACCAGTTAGCAGAAGAAATTGAATCAAGTGCTCAGTACAAAGCTCGAGTGGCCCTGGAAAATGATGATAGAAGCGAGGAAGAAAAATATACAGCAGTTCAGAGAAATTCCAGTGAACGTGAGGGGCACAGCATAAACACTAGGTATTTAAAGGAAATCATGATGCAGTATTTTGGATACACAACTCAAGGTCTGTGTGAGAAGGTGTATTATTATATTTCCTTTTTTTTTTTTTTTTCTAATGAGCTTAGGTAGAGAATGCAAGTGGAATTGGTGTAACAGATTTTGTTAGAGAAAAGGTTATGGTAATCTTGGAAAATGTATTTTGAGAGTCAGCTCTGTGGAGCCAAAGTATTGAGTATATGATGAAGAGCAAGCCAAGGTCTTACAGAGCTTGCTAAAGAGTAATTAATAGGACAGTATGATTCACTAGATTAAAGGTGTGTTTAGAGTATTAGGAACATCCAAGGTGAGGAGGAGCTAGAATTAATTGTGTTTTAAGAAAACCTCACTGAGGAGACTTTTTGTGATAGGATAATAGAGTTTGTTTGCCACTCAGAGGAGTATGAGAAAAGATTTCTCACCTGGTGAAAAGACACCCGCACACAGAAACTCAGCCCTGTGAGACAACCAGCCAAGCTCAGGAAAGGGCTAGTTGTTTCCTGTGTCAATGATCCATGTTGTGAGTGTAGTGGTGGCGGGTGGTGACAGGAACTGAGATAGTGAAAGGACTTTGTGTATAAGCCAAAGAGCATCTTGAAAGCAGGTGCTGGGGTGAACAAATCCCAGGGAGAACAGCTGTGTCAACTTGGTAACCAACTAGACCAAAGTTTGTGATATAAAGCTTAGAAAAATCAAGGGGGATTTATTGAGATTTTATTTGATTAACTGAGTTGATGGTTGTACTGATAATGGAGATAGGAAAGATGAAGCAAGTTTGAGGGGAGAAACAACTTGATTCATGCAGTTTGTTGCATTTGAGGGGCTTGTGTGTCTTTCATTTATTCAGGAGCACCCACTGCATACCTGGTAGATACCTATTGTCAAGGCACTCACAGCTTAGGTGGTACATTTGGATAAGTTCATTGAGATGTGTGGAGTCTGGAACAGGCACTTTGGATTTGAGATTGATCAGCATTGCTGATATTGAAGCAACACACACACCAAAAAAAAAAAAAAAAAACACTTCACAAAGAACAAGCAGACCGTGTAGATCTCAGAGAAAGTAAAGTTGAAAAGCCAAGGACCCCCAAAAAAAACTTTAAGAAGATTGATCATGAGTCAGCCACAGAGAGATCAAATAGGGTGAAAATGACCATATGTCTATTAAACTTTGTGCTTGGAGGAGAATCTGAGGGAAGGATGAGGCTAGAAGCTAGAACTCAGGGTAAGATGGAAGAACAGGGAATTGAAGCAGTTTGGTTTAGTGTTGAACATTTTTATAACAAATATTCCCTTTACCTAAATTATTTTTTAGACATGTTTCAGGATAAAATGATTTAGAGGATCTCTCATTTTCAGGGAAAATAAATATATTCCTCCTGGACAAAGAAATAGAGAAGTCATATCCTGGGGAAGTGGGAGACAGAATTCACCACGTATGGGCCAGCCTGGATCGGGCGCCATGCCATCAAGATCCACTTCTCACACTTCAGATTTCAACCCGAATTCTGGTTCAGACCAAAGAGTAGTTAATGGAGGCAAGTATTTTGGCCAAATTTATCAATGTCATTGATCAAATATAGTTTTCATACAAACTAAAAATGAGTTTACACAATTGATAGGAATGTACATACTATTGATGATTTTTGTGGAGTAGTTTTTCGCTTCAGAATTACTTAAAACTTGATTTTGTGAATATCAGATTAGAAATATTATATATAAGTCTTTGGCATATATAGTATTCAGTATGACAAAACATTCATCATATACTAAGATAAAGTTCTAAGTTTGCTTCTGACATTCACTTGGCCAAAAAAAAAAAAAAAAAAAAAAAAATCCCACATGTAAAGAAATTGGAAACTTTGGGTAGGTTCTCAATTTTAAAAACACTGGATAATAAAATTATTTAGATATAGTTTATATGGAAAATCCTAATATATATTCAATATACTTAGTGGTTAATAAAGAAAGGAGTTGTAATTTGTAATACAAGACATGACTAAGAGTCATGTGAAGAAATTAATAAAAACAACTCTTAAGTCCTTAAGTGTAGATGTTACAGTTTAGCATCTTAAATAAAAGAAACCTGCGTCTTTAGTAGGAAGGTATTTTTTTCACTATTCTAAATCTAGATTGAAGATAGCTCATAGATTATAGATGATTTATAGAATTCTGAGGATTCAGCACCCCTGTAAATGGTATGGGAATAAGGTAATTAGTAACAACAGTAGTCTTACTAAGGGAGTAGAGTGGACATTCAATTTTAGGCATCTAAATTTATAAAATTAGATCAAAACTAGAGAACACTAAGTTTCCAATTTCATTTTCTTTTTATTAAGTCTTTTTTTCCAGAATTCCTCTCCAGATGAACACAGTCTTGAGTATTTTCTATATTTAGTGTTGGGGATGAAAATTTCTTTGCTTATTGAGTAAAGATTTTTAGTTGTTCATAAACAGAATTTTCAAAGAAAAAAGACCTGAAGGGGGCTGGGAAATGTATAATACTCAAGTGCGTGGAGCCCTCTGGAGAGGAGACCTGGAACTATTTTCTAAGGTTAAGGTAAGTGCTCTGCAATGGTAAATGTCAGTGTATTTTGACCTATGCGTATCTATCAGGATCAATTTATTTGGTGATGACTGCTTTGTAGTTGCACTATTTATTAAGCAGTCTCTTAGATAAGTATTTTAACGGCATAAATTATTTGGAAGGTTCCCCCTTTTCTAGTTTAATGAGATATGGAGACTTATTTTGAAAGAGCAAATTTGATACCTTTATTATTCCTGTGATTCTACAAAATAGAATTAATATTTTATTTCTACTTAAATGGGACTTGATTTCTAATGAGACTTCAAACTGAACCTTAGATTCAAATATAAACTTAATGAAAATCATAGATGAGTGTAAGAAACCAGCTCTGTAAATGGGATATAATAGCTGGTGTTTATTTTTATTGTTTCTGAGCTAAAACTAATATAGTAAGCAATCTTATTCCTGACTAAGAATTACTGTGTTTTATTGTGTGAAGTTATCTACTGTATGTATATTCCTTTTAACAATTGTTTAGAGAGAAACAGTTATAGAAGCAGAATTACTAGACAAAGTCTTAACTGTCTTCTTCAATAGTATGTGTAGATCCTAATTAACCCTTTGGGAACGTGTATTCATTTAAACAGACTTAATTTTAAGGAGGTTAAAGTAAAATGTGAATTTATGTCAGTTAAGTTATGCTAAAACTTATCAAAAACAAATGACTGTCCTCAAAGGGTTAAAATGTACAAGAAATCATTTTTGTCATTTTACTTTTTTTTCTGTTTACTTTTTTCCCTCATTTTTTTCTTTAGTTTTTATACTTTCCTTCATATCATTTGTTCTGTCAGGTGTTCCCTGGCCATCGCCTTGCCCATCTCCTTCCTCTCGCCCACCTTCTCGCTACCAGTCAGGTCCCAACTCTCTTCCACCTCGGGCAGCCACCCCTACACGGCCGCCCTCCAGGCCCCCCTCGCGGCCATCCAGACCCCCGTCTCACCCCTCTGCTCATGGTTCTCCAGCTCCTGTCTCTACTATGCCTAAACGCATGTCTTCAGAAGGTACAATACCACAATTTGTTCATGTTTTTGTTTGTCTTTGTTTAACTCCTATGTGAGTTTATAATTACAAAATAGTTTCCTCTTCATTATTTAATAACCTATAATTTCCGTGTTTTAACTTTAGTTTATTAAAACTATTCTATTAACCTTTTGTTCATTAGAAATTTGATAAATGCTCTGTGAAGCTATGAACAATCCTGCATTGTAAGAAAGGGGGTTTAATCTGCCTAGTAATTATGCTTCTGCACAGCTCCAGAAAGATCTGCCCAGGGCCTCTTTCTCCTGATTGATACTGGATGTAGTGGTTAATAGTGAACAGTGAACTTTCTCCACTTAGCCTTGGACTTAACTGAATAACCTGTCATTTTATAATAGCTCCTTGGCCAAAATGCCAGTGAACCTTCCTATTGGCCATAGGCAGGAATTGTGTTTTAGGGATCCTTTTTTAGCATGACATTCCTTGTAGCTTCCTTTGTCTGTGGACCCTCAGATTATAATACAGACTGTGTTTTTTTTAGAGCACCTGAAGAATTCTAAACTTAACTGAGTAATTTTTTAAAATTAGCTTTGCAGTATTATACTGTACAAGCTATTTTTAAGTGAGAAGAGGTCTTGATATCAATGAAATTATTGATAAAACACAGGTATGAATTGGAATCTTTAGGGATTTTTTTGTTGTTGTTCTTGTCAAAAATAAGAAAATCCTGTAATTCTATGCTAAACCCACTACAGTTACATATGAGATATTTGCATATGTTGTAGAAGGGTAACATTCCAATTTAAAAATGCAGTGCATAAATTTAAAGTCCTGCTTTCTAAATGATAATGTCCTTTTGATATTCAGAATATTTGTGTTAAAATTTTAATCAGACTTGTTCATTAAAATCACAAATTGATATTGCTATGTTGGGACTAATAAACTTTTCTATGTAAACTGCTTCTCTGGAGAAACAGTGGTGACTGTTTTTAAATAAATTGTTGTCACCCTAGTAGGGAGATCATTAGACCTTGACCAAAACAGCGCACATTCAACAGCCAGTTTCACAGATTTTCAAGCTGACTTGCTTTCTCAAAAGTGCTTCTAATAGTGGAGTTAAGTTCTGTTGAAGTATGTATTGCAGTCCATTGTTTGAATAGAAGTTTATATAATGAGAAAGTGTTAGATAAAATATTCTTATTAATGAGTTGTGAATGTCATTATTACATTAAGATGTAAGGACTGTTTATGGAATAGCTTTTCATATAGAAATGTACCTTCTGCATTTTTCAGAGATGCTGTATAATCTCCAGTGGAAAGTTTGTCATTGGCATTCTTTTAAAGATCATATTCATGTTTTAATTCCTATTGGGGACACACATTAATTTGATGTTTTAAAGAGTTTGACAGCTAGGTTTGATTAAGAGGTCTTGACTTTGACCCTAAGAATGTGTTTTGTGAATGTTCTCATTGTCAGACTTGTGATGAGAGCAGCTCTGCCCATTAGTTTTCACCTGATGGTTTGGTCTAATGTGCATTAGACAGCTTTAGAAAGACAAATCCCTAATGGGGTGGCAGACCAGTGATGTAAAATTTTAACAATTCACATAGTGAAATTTCTTCCGCAAGTGTCACCTATTCTGGACGTTCAAGTCATGCTTTGTAGAATTTTCAGATCATAGCCTGCTAACTGCTTATAGGTAAGGACTTTTTAAAGCCATTAGTTATAAAATTGATGATCATGGCAGAAGAGTTAAGATAAACTAACATTTTTGAGAAATATAAGAAGGGTATATACATGTATTTCAGAGTACAGGGGGATCTGGGGATGGCTAGTCTTAAAAAAATTTTTTTTTTTTTTGGGAGGGGACTGGACACAGCTCAATAGTAGAGTGCTTGTTGACATGTATGAGGCCCTGGGTTTGATATATACAGCACCACCAAAATAAATTTTAAAATACTTTTTTTCTAATTTTGGAAGTAGTATATGTAAAAATTATTTCATTGTGTAACTGTACCTTCAGTTAACATTTTATTATAGTTCTTTATTTTTATATGCCTACAACTAATGGATTTAGAGTAAATAGATTGCTAAAATTCTCTTATTAGTTATGACATCTTATTGTTTGATTTCTTGCCACCAACTTCATCTCTCCCTTAAAAAATAAAGGGAAATGGCATTTATTTATAAACTCTGGCATTTTACAGAATACTTCTTTAGTAGTATGACCAATAATAAATATGGTATGGGTCTTCCCCCACCCACAACCTTTTATTTTTTAATCAAGGAACAACTATTGAATGAGTGAGTGAGGAGAGAGAGAGAGAGTGTTTAGCAGAAATATAGTACTGATGGACATTGCATATGATATTTATGTCATGTTCACTGTTCCTTTCTTAGGGCCTCCAAGGATGTCCCCAAAGGCCCAGCGACACCCTCGAAATCACAGAGTTTCTGCTGGGAGGGGCTCTATATCTAGTGGCCTAGAATTTGTATCCCACAATCCACCAAGTGAAGCAGCTACTCCTCCAGTGGCAAGGACTAGTCCTACAGGGGGAACATGGTCATCAGTGGTCAGTGGTGGTAGGTATCACTTGGCTTAGGACATTGACAGTGTTCTTTTTGTAATTATGTAAGGTATAAAAAGGGTGGAGGTAAAGCTCTGTTTGAGGAAGTGTGTGTGTATGGATGTGAGAGTGTGTGCGTGTGTATGTACATATAAAGTATATATAGTACAAATAGTGAACTAGCCAGGATTTGGGAAAACTATATTTTGTTTTTCTGGGATCATTAACATAAATTTAGAATAAATCATGCAAGCATCCAAATTTCAATTTTCTCAATGAGTAAAATCATTCTTGTCTAGTATGCTTTATGGGTTTGTGATATAATTCCTATGAGGTTCATAAATATGAACATAGTTGGTAGCTAGCAAGTCCCACTCTAAGGCAAATACAGTTCATAGCACTGTTTTGAAGGGACTGTATTTCCCATCTTTTTGGCATATTTGTTTGTTGATTTGTTCTACACACATTTATTGGGGGCTTACATAGAGAGTGTTTCTATAGCATCTGTCCATGGCACTAATTCCCAACTTTATTTCCTTTATTAGGAATGTCAAACACAAATGAAAGACGAAACTTTTATACTGTGAATAGCCTGAGGAATATGCTGATAGCGGCCATATAAGTGTAAAAAATTAAACTTTGACAGAAGTTAAAAAGTAGGCTACCTTGTTGATCAATCCTTAATGTTTTGCCCCCATAACGACTATAGAGTTAGAGCATTTAATGATGGCTTTTGGGAGTGGGGGAGGAGTGGTGCTGGGCCTTGTGCATTCGAAGCAAGCGCTTTACCAACTGAGCTAAATCCCCAGCCCCGGCTTTTCTTTTTTGTTCTTTATCCTTACAATAAATAGTCTTGAAACTTAAAAACAAAACACCCAGCACTATTAAATGTCTATGTTCAGTTGATAATGCTCTCTGATCACTTTCATACAATGTGCACTCATACAGTTGTACTATGAATTCCTTCAATTAAATTAAGATAATAAGAAAACATTTAAAAAATCATCTTCAGCTTAATATTAATACTTTGGCATTACTCAGATGGTTTGGAAATGAATTTTGAGAGTGACTATCATTTAGAGGCAAGAGAATAAAAACAGTTGTTAGATATACACCCAGACTGGGGCTGGAGTTGGGGCTGTAGCTCAGTGGTACAGCGCTTGCCTAGCATGCATGAGGCACTGGGTTCAATCCTGAGCTTCACATAAAAATAAACAAATAAAATAAAGGCATTCTGTCCATCTACACTACAAAAAAAAAAAAAAAATTAAAATACCCAGACTAACATTATAAGTTTGTTTATTTATAAAAATTAGAAAAAATGACAATTGTTGAATGTTTCCTTTCATAATCCTTGTTTCTTCGATAAAAAAATGAAACTGAGGTAAATTGAAGCATTTTTTTCAAAACCTAGGAAATCATAATGTCAGCCCCACATTTATACTATTTTCTTGTGTTATCTAACCCTTTTGGCTAAATTGGGTCCTGATTTCCTTAGTTATTGCCCAGTGGATTTTGATGTTTCAAGAAAGAGCACACGGGATGAGCTACAAAGTGCTGGGTGGTGTTTCAGTGTATCAAAGAGGCAGGAATAGGCCTCTTGGGGATATCCCACATTTTTAAAAGGAATAACCCAACTTTTCAGTACAAAATATTGCCATCCATCTTTCTTAGAAAAAAAGAAAAAAAAACCCAGCAAGTTGCATTTATCTTGCCATAGGAATCTAATATCCAACTTGACTCAAAAAAGTTAATATGTTCAGTTAGGAAGGAACCCACAATTGTACTTAGGTATTAGTAATGGCTTTCTTTCCTCAGACATTTGTGTTTTCAGTAGCCACCACTATTCCTGAGACTGAAAAAGAAAACAGGGTGGTTGGGAAAAAGTGGGGACTGAGGATGACTGTTCTACCAAGATCTCAAAACAAGCCTTTTTGAGGAAATGACAGATGAGCTGAGAACATAATGAATAACTTTTTCCTTGTTTCTAGTTCCAAGATTATCTCCCAAAACTCACAGACCCAGGTCTCCCAGACAGAACAGTATTGGAAATACTCCCAGTGGGCCAGTGCTTGCTTCTCCCCAAGCTGGTATCATTCCAGCTGAAGCTGTTGCCATGCCCATTCCAGCTGCATCTCCTACACCTGCCAGTCCTGCATCCAACAGAGCTGTGACCCCATCGATGGAAGGTATGTGGGGTGGGGTGGGGGGCTTCCAAGGTTAACAGAAAAATTCTGTGTTGTCATAGCTATGTGTTTTGAATACACATTTAAAATTTTAAGTAAATTAAGTTTGTTGTTTACATATTACCACTAGTTTCCTATAAGTTATTCTTTAATATCTAGTGTTATGAAGGCTAACATTCCTTGGGTGCTGAATACCTATGTAAATATAATTAGTGTTGTTTCACATGATGTCTGCAAGGAACTAAAACCTCTGTTCAGGTTAAAGTATTTTTTCCAAAAACATTTCTAATTTCTGAATTCTTTTTGAAAAATTGTTTTCTAGCTAAAGATTCCAGGCTTCAAGATCAGAGGCAGAACTCTCCAGCAGGGAATAAAGAAAATGTTAAGCCCAATGAAACATCACCTAGCTTTTCAAAAGCTGAAAACAAAGGTTAGAGTTTTAAGTTTTTAAACATAATTGTGGAAAAAGGGAAGAGCATGTCTAATTCATGCCCAGTAGAGTACTTTTGTTTGTACACTTCTTGGTATTGCATACACATGAATGCTTAGTTTGGTAAATGCTAGAATTAATATTTGAAATTGTTTTTCTTTTGATGACAGATCTTATTCTCATTTCTGACATCACATATGAAAAGAACTTGAAGTTAGAGTCAAAATAAACGTGTATTTTAATAGTTCTTGATTTTACAGGTATATCACCAGTTGTTTCTGAACATAGAAAACAAATCGATGATTTAAAGAAGTTTAAGAATGATTTTAGGGTAAGTGTCATTGACTAATGAATTATAATTTGAAAAAATAAATAATAAACATTGCCACTTTTATATCATTAGTTTACAAAAAATGCATTGTGTAACCACTCAGAAACATTATACCATGTATATAGGTAAGCAGGCTGGGACTTGGCCATAGAGCGCTTGTCTAACACGCGTGAGGCAATAGGTTTGATCCTCCGAACCACATAAAAATAAAATAATGGTTATTGTGTCCACCTACAACTAAAAAACAAATATTGACAAGAAAAACAAAAAAAGGTAAGCAGTCTTAAAGTTATCTTTCTTATCCTTAATTGGAATAATCTAAAATATGAGATTGGATAATAACAATATAGGCATCCGTGTTTTGAATCCATCAAAACAGCTTATTATTTGATGTTCATTTGATTACCATGGTTAGTGGGATTAGATTTTAGCAGAGCAAAGGTCAAATTCTTAATGATCTGCTGTGGACAGTGAATCCTGGCGTACTATGGTAGTTGAAGATTTCTACTTTGTGAACAAATGTATTAATTATGGCGTATGTCTTTTTCTGTTTGTTTACAGTTGTGGAGGTCAAATCTAGTTTGTTATCGGTGCTAGGCAGATGCTGTACCACTGAGCTGCATTCCCATCCTGATATCTTTCTATAATACCATTTCTCTGTATTGAGACAGGATTTCCTGAACATACCCTGAACTCTTTGATGACTTATTTCATTCTTGTGCAGTTATAATAATAATATAGTGTAGATATCAAGGTAGATTTTTGAGACCAACTCAAGACAACTTGAAACTTTGCTTCCTAGAGGGGGGAAAAATGTAATTGTTAGTCTTTAAAAAAAAATTATAGAATTAAAACACGAATGAGTCAGAGGCATGATGACAGCCTTTTCCCAGCATGAATTCTAACTTTCTAAATTTTTCTGATGTTTTGTTTAAGTTTTATTCATATTGGCAACATCTAAAGTATTACATATTATTTCATACTTCAGCATATCTTTTCAACATCAATGCTATTAATAGTTGTTAATTTACATTTTGTTAAGCAATGGTTAACACCTATAATACAAATAATAACAAATGGGTGACTGTGCCAATACTATACTGTCTTGATTATAGTTAATATATTTTGAAAGGTAGTACTTGTTCATTAAATAGACACATTTTGGCCATCAGATTATGAGATATATATGTATGTATATATTTTTGATATTACAGAATATATAATATATTTACAGAAAGTCCAAAACTTTCTATAAACCTTCATTAATGCTTGACTTTTAAATTACTGGTAGGAGTACCATTAAAAATCTTTCTCTTTTGCACTTTGTCTTACTGGGTTTTGGAGTCTGAATAATCATAGGTGTTATTAAATCTCTTAATAACAACTCCCAACCCATAAGTGAATGCTAGAAAGCAATGAAACAGATTTAAAAGAGATTTGAGGGTGAGCTTTATAATTGTTAGAGTAAAATGTTATTAGATTATGCTTATTATTTCCTTTGTACTACACATTGTTTTAAGTTCACATGTAAGACCTTTATTGTCCTAACATCCCTTTGAAGCAAGTTCTTTTTTTTTTTTTTTTTTTTTCCGTACTGGGGAATTGAACCCAGGGGCACTTAACCACTGAGCCACATCCCAAACCTTTTATATATATATATGTATGAATGAATATAATACCCTTATTTTATTTATTTATCTTTATGTGGTGCTGAAGATTGAACCCAGTGCCCCATTCATGTTAGGCAAGAGCTCTACCACTGAGCCATCACCCCAGCCCTGCAGCCCTCTTATTTTTTATTTTGAGACAGGGTCTCATTTGGTTGTCGAGGCTGGCTTTGAACTTACTCTTTTATTATCTGCAGTATGAATATTAGGAAATTGAGGCAAAGAAATTAATTTGCCCAGAGTCACGTGTCTAGTATATGACGCCAACTGGCCATCTGATGTTTAAGCTTCTAGTAATGCTTAAACAGCTACTAATGCATAGTATATGCTACACTGTTCAATGAATGAATCATCAGAGCTGTGCTCATGACAAGGACATGGCCTTAAACTGAATTTGTTTTAGTCTTTCATTGAAACAGAAATTAGAATACTCTGATTGCTTGTTTTTAATCTCCCTCCCTCTCTTTATCCTGGAGAGCTCTCTGCAGGATCTAGAATAGCTGTGTATAGGATGCTCATAGTTTTATTTGTGTAAGAATATTAGTGTATTGGGGCTGGGGTTGTGGCTCAGAGGAAGAGTACTAGCCTAGCATGCATGAGGCACTGGGTTCGATCCTCAGCACCACATAAAAATAAAACAAAGATATTGTGTCCACCTACAACTAAAAAATAAATGTTAAAAAAAAAATTTACTGTATTGATCTGTTCAGGATTAGTAGCGTGGGTATTTGAGGTAAATAGACCTGGGTTTGAATCTTGACCCCCATATGCCATATGTATAACATTGGGGCATATTATCTACTTTTCCAAGCTGAAATGGGGTAATTGTAAAACCTGTTCTTATAATATCTAAATGAGATACTGCCAGTGAAGTGTTTAGCATAGAGCCTGGCACATAGTATTCACTTCATGCATGTTAATTCTTATTACCAAAATATAGGTGATATGCTAGCAACATTTTCTTCATCTCTCAGTCCCATACCTGAGGGTAGAATGTTTTGAGTATTCTGATGGTTGTGTTGTATATACATTTCTTTTATTGTTGCCTTATAACAACATTATTCTGAAAATTGGGGGGGAATTTTATTCAAAACAGTTCACACCTACTTCGTTTGTACTTTGGGGGAGAAAATGGGTTACTAGAATTACTTAAAATATTTAAGTATAATTATTTTCTTTATTTAGTTACAGCCAAGTTCTACTTCTGAATCTATGGATCAACTACTAAACAAAAATAGAGATGGAGAAAAATCAAGAGATGTGATCAAAGACAAAATTGAACCAAGTTCTAAGGATTCTTTCATTGAAAATAGCAGCAGCAACTGCACCAGTGGCAGCAGCAAGCCGAACAGTCCCAGTATCTCCCCTTCAATACTTAGTAACACTGAGCACAAGAGGGGACCTGAGGTTACATCCCAAGGGGTGCAGACTTCTAGCCCAGCATGTAAACAAGAGAAGGATGATAAAGAGGAGAAGAAAGATGCAGCTGAGTGAGTAAATCAGGAATTTGGTACTTCGTGTTAGTCAAATTACTTTATGCGCTAGCCTCAGACTCTAACCACCACTGATTTTTGTGTTTTGGGTTCCACACAACCGCATTATAAATGAACTTTTGATATACAACTCATTAATTTGGGGGACTGATTATTCTTGGGTTAAAGCAAAAATTTCTGTTAAAGCCATGATTGTTCCCAACATATGTCATGTAAAATGTGTCTGATTACATTAAAAGTTACTGAATACTATAGAATTGGTATATTAAACATTATTTTCAAGGATATTTTATAAGGATTACTATCTTTTCAGCTCCAGTATTTTAATTGTCTTTGAGAAAATCAGTCATAAATTACTTTTAAAAACATAATCCGCCTTTGTAACCAGCCACAACAGCATGTGTCTGTAATCCCACTGAGTCAGGAGGCTGAGACAAAAAGGATCATAAGTTTACGGCCAGTCTCAGCAACTCAGTGAAACCTGGTTTCAAAGTAAAAAATAAAAAGGGCTGAGCATGTAGCTCAGTGTCAAAGCACCCTGGGGTTCAATCCCCAATAAAAAATAATAGCAGTAGTAATAATGATAATAACACTTATGGTCAGTTTGGATAAAGGGATATGTAATGTGTGTGTATATTTTAACAAAGAATATTAATAGTCTCCTAGTGAGAATTGTTTAAATCTGATTTATGTTCAGCAGTTTTTTAAAAAAAATATTGTCAGGTGTGGAAGATTTAGAGAAACATAAATTCCTTGCAGATTTCATTGGCCTGTATATTTTTTTTGGTTTAGGCAAGTTAGGAAATCAACATTGAATCCCAATGCAAAGGAGTTCAACCCTCGCTCCTTTTCTCAGGTAAGTTTATTAATTTCTTTGAGGTTAACCTAGTCTCTGAAAATAATTAACTTATTATGATTTATTACAATTAGTATGATTAGTGGTAGTGTTTCTCCCATAGCAGCCATCTAAGTTCCTTATAGCATGCAAAAACAACTTTTTTTCGTCTAATGGTTACTAATATGAATATTTTCTTAGTATTAACAAAAGGAAATTTTTAAAAAATTTAAAATCACTTTCTCTGGATTCTTACAAAAGTAGTACTGCTATGTATTATGATATTTTTTTCACAAAAATTTACTTTAGCTTTTTACAAAAGCATTTTTTTTTCTTTTGTTTCAAACATTTGTTTTCTGTTTGTTATTATTATTTTTTTTTTTTTTGCTTTTGCTTTTGTAGTGCTGGCGATAGAACCCAGGGCCTTCCACACAGTAGGCAATTTTTTTGCCGCTGAGTTACATCTCCATCCCCAAATTTTGTTTGTTTTGCAGTGCTGGGAGTCAAATGGAGGGTTTTCGTGTATGCTAGACTGGTTTTTATTTTTGTTTGTTTTTTATCCTCCTGATAAAAATAATAGTTAAGAGTGGATGAAAATTATAGTAATTAGGACAAACATTCTCAAATTGTGATAATAGTTAAGTTTTCAACTTGAAATAGTTAAATTTTATTTTTGCTTCTGTAGCCAAAGCCTTCTACAACCCCAACTTCTCCTCGACCTCAAGCACAACCTAGCCCATCTATGGTGGGTCACCAACAGCCAACTCCAGTTTATACTCAGCCTGTTTGTTTTGCACCAAATATGATGTATCCAGTCCCAGTGAGCCCAGGTGTGCAAGTAAGTCATAACATTTGATGTTCACGTGGCTATGCTACTTCTTTGTATTTAACACAAGCAGCCTTTAGATTTGTAGTGACCTGAGGCATGGTGGCATACAGAAGTACTTGAAAGAGGGAGGAAGCATGAGTTGTTTGGTGTGTTGTTAGTATAAGGACCTGAATCAGAGACTGTTTTCTGGTGAGAAAAATGGCTTAGATTAGTTTGGAATTTATCCTATTAGCTTGTGGATATGATTTCATTTTTAAATGACTCATAAGAGAATCAGTAAACTTTATCTCTAGCAAGATAAAACCAAGAGTGGTAGAATACATTCTTATCATAGGAGCCTAATGATTTTTTTTTTTTTTATTCCTCAAGCCTTTATACCCAATACCTATGACGCCCATGCCAGTGAATCAAGCCAAGACATATAGAGCAGGTAAAGGTGAGAATAATTGTGTCTGTGTTTGCTTGTAGTCTGCATGCTGCATGAATTAAGTGATTCAGTTTATAATGAATATTCAAAGTTCAGCTTAGACTTTTGATTAGGCTGTGCATTGACTTTTGATGACCAGTGTTAAAGTATTCAGATGAATTATTATGAAAAAGGAGATGGTAAGTGCAACCTGAAATCTCAATGTAAATTTGAAAAAGGTTTGCTAGAATTAGTTAGACTGCTGACCGTATTTTAAATTGACCTACATTTAATTCCCCCAAAGTCCAGAATTTACTTTGAAGCAGAGTGCACCTCACATCAAAAACCAATATCAGAACCCTATTAGAGGAATGTTTCCTCATCTTTAAAATGAGTGATATAATCTGGTTGTATACACTAGTATTTTAGACTTGTATTATCTGTTGGAGAATTATCACAATTCTTAGCTGCCTTAAACTACAAACATCATTTCACCCAGTTTCTGAAGATTAGGATCCCAGTAGCAGGTTAGCTGGATGGTTCTGCCTTGGGGTCTCTTGGAAGTTACAGAAACGATGGTTAGGTTAAGTAGGTCTGCCATTGTCTAAAGTGACCCTCAACTGGATCTAAAGGATCTGCATCCATATTCACAGTTGTTAGCATTAGGATTCTTGTTACATGTATTTTTCTATAGCATTGGACATGTCAGCTGGCTTCTCCTACAGTGAATGTTCAGGGAAAAACAGTCCTGAACTGCAACTGAAACAGTTTCTTGACAGTGATAATAACATCAGCTCTGCTATCTGCTGTTGGTCACACACAGCAATCTTGATGCAGTATATGTAGTAGGAGGAAAGAGGGGGCGGGTGCTGAATACCAAGTCTCAGAACACTGGGAACTGTCTTATAAGGGCCATCTTATTTATATTTTCTTACAATGTATATAAAGTACTTGGAATCTTTTTAGTTAGACTACAGAATAAAATCTAAAATTTTTCTGGAGTATATATTTTCCTTTATATCTGTTTTACTAAAAAATATTTTTAGACTAAAGATTTGTTATCCCTGTTACTTCCAACTACTGTCTTCTAAAGTTGCTAAGTGATCATGTCAACAGCTTGATGGGTAAATAATTAAATCCAATTGAATTTGGTTTTTACTATCTTTGTTTTGGTAGTACTGGGGACATAGGTACCACTGATGTTTATCCCCATCCCTTTATATTTTTTATTTTGGATAGAGTCTGGCTAAACTTGTGAGGTTGGCCTCCAACTTGTAATCTTTCTGCCCCAGTTTCTGGAATAGCTGAGGATATAGTGTGTAACCACACACCTGGCTGAGTCTGTTTATTTTACTGAAATATAAATTTGGATGGATCCAAGTCCTTTGTCATATATATTTTTCATTGTGTATTCTCACAGTCCAATTTAATGTTTCTTTTTTTCATTTGTTTTTAAAGTATCTTTGAAAGAGCAGTAGTTTTAAATTTTGGAGTCCATCTTATCCGTTTTTTTCTTCTACAGTTATATTTATTTCCTGTATTCACATAAGCTGAACTTGCAAAAATTTCTTCCTATGAGGTTTTTTTTTTTTTTAAAGTCATTGAAGTGGGGCTGGGGTTGTGGCTCAGTGGTAGAGTGCTTGCCTAGCACTGAGTTTGATCCCCAGCACCACATAAAAATGAAATAAAAGATATTGTGTGTCCACCTACAACTAAAAAATATATATATATTAAAAAATTTAAAAAGTCATTGAAGTATATTATTATATTAATCTTGTTCTAAGTGGCTTTCTTAAAAAAAAAAAAAAAAAAAAAAAAGAACTTTTAAACCAGTTTGATTCTGTAATTTTTTTTTTTTTTTTTTTTGGTAGTGTAGGGGATTGACCCTAGAGGAGCTCTGCCACTGAGCTACATCCCCAGCCCTGATTATTTTTTATTTTGAGACAGGGTCTCAAGTTGGCCAGGCTGTCCTGGAACTTCCATCCTCTTGCTTCAACCTCTGAAGTAGCTCATGCACCACTGTACCTGGCTTTGTGTTTACATAAATTTTGACAAATGTATTTATTTATGTAATTGTGTCGTCAATCAAAATGTTCAAACGTTGTTCCTCATTCCCCTTTTCCATCAAACCGTACTTAATTCCCTTGAGCTCTGGGTAACTACTGATCTGCTTGTCCCTTCTAGATTGTTTTTAAAAAATGGAGCTATGTCGTGTATAGTTTTGGAGAGTCTGGCTTAAATAGCATAGCAATTTGAGATTATTTCATGTAATCACTTAATGTCTCTCTGTTCCTTTTTTTTCTTGAATAGCATTGCATTTTATGATTATGCCACAATTTACCCATTAGCAATTAATAGGCATTTGTGTGATTGTCAGCTTTTGGTATTTTGAAGAAAACTGTTATGCACATTTGTGTGCATTTTTGTGTCCACTTCTGTTGGTCAAAAAATTGTCAAGGTATGGTTAAATACATATTTCAATTAACTAGCAATTAACAAAACAAAACAAAAATTGTTTTCCAAAGTAGTTGTATCTTGTTACATTTCAATGATCAAATTTGTTTTGCTCTCCATCTTTGCCAGTTCTCAGTATTGTCCATCTCTAATTTTAACCAGCCTGTTGGGTATGTTACAGATTCTCATTGTGATTTTTAACATGCATTTCCCTGATTATGACTGATGATGAGCTTCTTTTCATGTGAATTTTGGGTATTTGTCAGCTTTTTAAAAAATTAATTGTTAAAATCTTTTATCCTTATAAAATTTTGAGTTTTCTTACGAATTTTAAGTAACTTTTTATTTTTACATTTTTTATTGATATAGTTGTACATAATTATGGGATTTGTTACATATTTGTACACACACACAGTATAACAGTTTGATTTGGTCAATATCACTCCCCAGAACTAACTTTTATATTCTAGTTACAGGTCCTAATTGAATATAGGTATTGTGAATATTTTCTCCCAGTCTGTGGTTTGCACTTGACTAGTTTTTTTTTTTTTTTTGAAGAACCAGTCTTACTAATTTCGATGAGGTCCCTTTATCAAGTTTTTTCCTAAAGTTTCTGCTTTTTGTGCAAGTGCTCCACCAACTGAGCTCTATACCCAGCCCCATATGGTTGATTTTGAAGTTAATTTTTGTGTAGGAGATGAAATAAAGGTGGAGTTGTTGTTGTTGTTCTTCTTTATTTTTTTAGTTGTAGATGGACAGATACCTTTATTTTTATATAATTTTTTTTTTTTTTAATGTGGTGCTGGAGATCCAACCCAGTGCCTCATGCATGCTAGGCAAACGCTCTACCACTGAGCCACAACCTTAGCCCGAGTTCTCCTTTTCGCCTGTATTTAGATCCAGCCTGTTTTTCTTGTCTGATCTCTTTGGCATCTTTCAGTTGACCCATCTGTGTGTGGTTCTCATTTGTGAACTGTTTTGTCACTTTATTTTTTGATTTATTTATTTATTTTAAAAAATATTTCTTAGTTGTCAATAGATCTTTTATTTTATTTATTTGTATGCGGTGCTGAGGGTGGAACTCAGGGCTTCACACATGCCAGGCAAGTTCTCTACCCCTGAGCCAAAGCTCCAGCCCCCTGTTTTGTCACTTTGATCTTTATGTCTACCCTCATGCTATACACACTTTACTGTTATTTTATAATAAATCTAAAAATCGGTTCATGTAAGTTCCTCATATTTATTCTTCTTTGTCAAAATTGTTTTGATAATTTTACGTTCTTTGCATTTCCAGTAAGTTTTTGTGGTCAGCTTGGGATTATGCACTGAATTATTTTAATGTGGATTCTTCACTGATTGTATAATATAATTCTCAATTTATGATATAAATAATTATATCTCTCCATTTACTTAGGTCTTCAGTTTGCTACTGTTTGTAGTTTTCATTATATCAATTTTGTACATGCTTTCTTAAATTTACTTTTATATATTTTTATGCTATTTTGAATGATGTTTTTTAAATCTTTGTTTTTTAGAAGCATTTGGCATTTAAATCTTGACTTTGTCTTGCCACATTGTAATAATGCTTTTTAGACTTTCACAATTATTCAGTTGCTGTGTCTGTTTCTTATACTGTACTAGAGAGGTTTCTAGGATACTAACAAATACTATCATCTTGCCATGTTCCCATTCTCAGGAGTAAAACATTGTCTTTCATTGTTAAGCAAGGGTTCAATGTAGATCTATTCCTAATTTGCAGTTTTTCAAGTTTTGTTTGTGGTTTTTGTTTTTTTTTTTTAAATACCAAGGATTGTGGGGTTGTGTTTTTTTTTTTTTGTTTTTTTTTTTTTAATACTGGGGTTGTGGCTCAGCAGTAGAGCGCTCGCCTAGCACATGGGAGGCCCTGGGTTCGGTTCTCAGCACCACATAAAAATAAATAAAACAAAGGTATTGTCAACTACAACTAAAACATAAATATTTAAAAAAAAATAAAAATACTGGGGATTTAATCCAAGGGCACTTAACCACTGAGCCACATCCCCAGCCCTTTTATATTTTATTTTGAGACAGGGTGTTGCCGAGATGCTTAGGACCTCCCTAAGTTGCCGAGACTGCCTTTGAACTCCTGATCCTCCTGCTTCAGCCTCCTGATCTTTGGGGATTATAAGCGCCTGGCTGGGTTTTTTTTTGTTTGTGTGTGTGTGTGTGTGTGTTTCTTTTAAAAATTTTTTTTGTGCTTGTAAATGGACAGATTGCTTTTATATTATTTATTTTTATATGGTGCTAAGAATCGAACTGAGTGCCTCACATGGGCTAGGTAGGCAAGTGCTGTATCTCTGAGCCACAACCCCAGCCATATATATATATATATATATATATATATATTTTTTTTTTTTTTTTTTTTTTTTTTTTTGAGAAAATTTTAAGACATTAACAGCTTCTGGGTAGTCGTGTCTCATTCATACCCCTGTCATTTGTGCCCTGGCTTCACTGGAATATTCTGAAGCAATGCTAGGCATGGTGTCATCTATTAGTATTCTGTAGGAGTTACTAGACTCTCTTCTGTTAAGTCATAGTTAAATCTGGATTGTTTGATGGCTGATGGATGTTCTTTCAGTAGGAGTCATGTAACATCGTCTTTCTGTTTTGTAATAGTAGGAGTAACCAGTGAGTTTTTACAATCCTCATCTATCCAGGATAACATTTTCCATAACTCTTTCCTGTTTGTTTTAGCAGTAATTTGTGATTATTGTGTAGACCTAGATGCATTTCATTAATGATTGCAAAATGGTGACATTCTCTTCTTTTAATCCCTTTTTCAATTAGGTGGAATATTTCTATAAAGAAAATCTTTAGCCAGTGTGGTGGTGCACACCTGTAATCCCAGTGACTCAGAAGGCTGAGGCAGAAGGATCACAAGATCCAGGCCAGCCTTAGCAACTGAGCAAGATCCTGTCTCAAAATAAAAAGGGCTAAGATGATGGGCTGGGGTTGTGGCTCAGTGGTAGAGTGCTTGCCTGGCACATGTGAGGCACTGAGTTTGATCCTCAGAACCACATAGAAATAAATAAAATAAAGGTATTGTGTCCCTCTATAATTAAAAAAAAATTAAAGGGCTGGGATGTTGCTCAGTGGTAGAGCACCCTTGGGTTCTATCCCCAGTACCAAAAAATACAAAACAAAAACTTTACCTCACTAAACTATTTGGTTACCTTGAGGCATAGCTTAAGCTTTTAAGTTTAAGTCAACTTAAAATGCTTATCATTTCTCTTTTTAAGGCCATCTTCAATATAATATGAGTTGATTTATTATTATCCTCAGAAGGTGACGAAGTTTTTTATTGTTATTTATTTGGGGTATTATAGTATCAACTGATGAATTTTAATTTAGGATTTACCATTTTTATTAGAATGACTGTAAAGTTATAAGTTAACTTTGAAGAAAATTGATATCTTCATGCTGTTGAGAATCCAAGAACAAATTGTTATCTTCAGGAGCATTTTAACATTTCTTCTTAAGGTTTTGTGCATTTCTTCAGTTTATGCCTCGGATATAAACTTTTTTGTTGTTAAGGTAAACTAAGATATTCTCTACCATAGCATCTTCTAAGTTCTTATGAAAGTCTGTATGTTAATTTTATATCCTGCTAGTTTACTAAATTATAATCATTTGAGGAGTTAGATAAGGGTGTTTTTAATATCTTTGAAATAATAGGCAAAGGCAAGGACTTGGTTCTAAAATATACTATGGATTGTATAAGTGTATCTTTCCTACAAGGTAGTATCGTCTTTATATAAACCATCTCTTTACCCTCTTGCTATAAACTGCAGAGTTGCCTTTTATACCTTTGAGACAGGTTGAGAGGTGTTTGAAAATACACCAAAGTCAAGGACTTAATTAACATAAAGCAGACTTTCTTAGCCCTGACACTGTTAATATTTATTTATATGAGGGGGAGAGTATCCTGTGAACTATAGGTTAAAGTATGTCCACCTGAACTCTGATTTAAGTTAAGAATAACATAAATTCAGTTTAGGAAGGGGAAAAAAACAAAACAAAACCACTGTAACAAAGATTATAGAAGTTTTTAACTTTGAAGACAATAATACGTTTGAATAGCTAGCTTTTTGACTGGAGGCAATAATCAGATAACAAAAGCAGTAGTAAATTGGTTAATTTATTGAGCTTAACTGGACAAACTTCCATTTGATCAAAATAATTGAGTTTGATTGAAGTAATTATTTGTGTTTCTTATGCCAAAATTAAGCTTTTTCTCTAAAAAAAAAAAAAAAAAAAAAAGAAGGTGCCTTTTCAGAATGAACCATCAAGATTAATTCAGGAAAATATTTTACTCCATTGCATTCTTCTGCTTTCAAGTTCACTTTCCCAAGTAGATAAAATCTCAGCAACATTCATTAAATGTTTAATCAATTTTTTTTTAATTGATTTAGTTTTTTTTAAATACATGACAGCGGAATGCATTACAATTCTTATTACACATATAGAACACAATTTTTTATATCTTTGTATATAAAGATATATATACACACACACATATACATATATATATGTTTATACCGATTCTTCATACATGTACTTTGGTTTTTGTTTTGGGTTTTTTTGTTGTTGTTTTTTGCATTACAATTCTTTTTACACATATATACGAAAACTTTTCATACCTCTGTTTATAAAGTAGGTTGACACCCAATTCATGTCTTCATACATGTACTTTGGATAATGATGTCCATCACATTCCACTATCCTTGCTAATCCCCTTCCGTCTCCCTTTCCCTCCCTCCCATGTTCCCCCTCCGTACCCCACTATGAGTCAGCCTCCTTATATCAGAGAAAACATTCAGCATTTGTTTTTTTGGGTTTGGCTAACTTCACTTAGCATTATCTTCTCCAATGCCGTCCATTTACCTGCAAATACCATGATTTTATTCTCTTTTATTGCTGAGTAAAATTTCATTGTGTATATATACCACATTTTTTTTTTTATCCATTCATCCACTGAAGGGCATCTAGGTTGGCTCCACAGTTTAGCTGTTGTAAATTGTGCTGCTATGAACATTGATGTGGCTGTGTCACTGTAGTATGCTGTTTTTAAATCCTTTGGGTATAGTCTGAGGAGAGGGATAGCTGGGTCAAATGGTGGTTCCATTCCCAGATTTCCAAGGAATCTCTATATTGCTTTCCATATTGGCTGCACCATTTTGTAGTCCAACCAGCAATGTACGCATGTACCTTTTTCCCCACATCCTCGCCAACACTTATGAAGACAAAATTTTTAAATAATCAAAACAAAATTAAAATTTTGTGAAGAAATTGAAGATACTTGTGTAATTCTGATGATTTTATGAACATGTTGCATACCTTAAAGCAGTGGTCATAAAGTTTCTTCCCTTGAATGGCTTGGTTAATGTCACACCAGAACTAGATCTCAGGCAAGCATAGGTGCTATGTAGACATGGAAGGAAAAGGCACACAGGATCTAGTTCACTTGTGTGAACTAGAAAGAACTCAACAAAGAGATGCCAGTTGAACTGAGTTGTTTGTTTGTTTACCTTTATTTTATTTATTATGTGGTGCTGAGGATGCAACCCAGGGCCTTGCACGTGCTAGGCAAGCATTCTACCGCTAAGCAACAACCCCAGCCCTGATCTGAGTTCTTAACTAAAGCTTTACTTGGGCTAAAGGGAAAGGAAATCTGTGTGGAACAATATAAGACACAAAGGGATTTTTTTTTAAAAAAATAGAGCCATCATTTAGACACCTGCTATCTGCTAAATTGTGCTGCATGATACTTGGGTTTGAAAAAGAGGGAGAAATTGAGAATTCAGTGATGGGTGTTGACTCTCTTTTGGCTCTTTTGTCATACTTTTATTTTCTTTAAATGAACCTAGCAAGGTGGCTTAATTTTGGTATGTCAGACAGTATTGGGCTCATGAGCAGACACACGCCTCCAGATCTCTTGTGGTAGATATAAACACGTTACCTGAGACTTGGTGTGAAGCAAAAGGCATTGATACTGCTGTGTCTGTTATAGGAGGTACGTCCTGTCTGATGGTGGTCATAGAGGATCTCACTGAGGATGATATTTTCAGACTGACCCCTGAAGGATGAGTCACAGACATTCCCAGCTGCAAGTTAGGGACTGGTGTTTGAGACTGAGGAATAGCATGTGCAATAGGAAAACAGCCCAGAGTGAGTGAAGTGGTGGTAAGAGTGGTGTGAGATAGTGCTGGAGAGGTGGGCAAGAGAGTCCAATCGTGCTGAGCCTTGTAGACGATGTGAGTGTATGTAGTATGCTAATGTAGCTGTTTTACTAAGGAGGAGGTACTGTTTTCCTTTAATGAGGATTTTTTTCCCCCACAGTACCAAATATGCCCCAACAGCGGCAAGACCAGCATCATCAGAGCACCATGATGCACCCAGCCTCTGCAGCAGGTCCACCCATTGTAGCCACCCCACCAGCTTACTCCACTCAGTATGTTGCCTATAGTCCTCAGCAGTTTCCAAATCAGCCACTAGTTCAGCATGTGCCACATTATCAGTCTCAGGTAAGGTTGTATGGCCTCTTAATTTTAATTTCTATTTTTAAATTTTAACTTTTAATATGGTCAAGTGATTTTCCTTTATATTGTTTTGCTTTTTGTTATGGTAGAAAAGATAAATAAGAACTTGAAGCCTTTTTAATATATGTTCAATCATTACTGATCAGGGTAAGTTCTAAAGGAAATAGCCAAAAAGGCTATAGAATTTTCAGTTGCTTCTGGAAACCTAGGAATCATCGAGTTAAAAATTAACTAAAATCTGCTTGGCTCTTTTGATATTTTAATGTTTTTTCTTTGTTTCTTTGTTTGAACACAGCATCCTCATGTTTATAGTCCTGTAATACAGGGTAACGCGAGAATGATGGCACCACCAACACATGCCCAGCCTGGTTTAGTATCTTCTTCTGCAACCCAGTACGGGGCTCACGAGCAGACACACGCGATGTACGGTAGGAAGCACTTTGTCTTTTTCACTGTGTGTGACTATTCTTAATTTGTTTTAAAGCTCTGTAAAGGCATTCTCTGTTTAAAAATAAACTGGCCTCATGACATTGAAGGTCAAGAAGAAAAAGATTAATCCTTTTCTTCCCCTGTATTAAGTCTTGGCAAAGAGTTTTTACTTCTGTACTTGGCAATAGTTCTGTCTTTCCATGTCTCTCCTCTTGGAACTACAATGTAATGATACTATTAACAGCAAAACAATTTTGAGAAGAAAATTTCTTCTTTATCTTCCTTGTCAGTGTTATCATTTGGTGTAGCAAGTACTGCTGAAAACATCCTTCTCTTCTCATTTTTGTGTCACTGGCATTAAATATTTTTATTGCTATTGCTATAATGGTACTGTGTTTCTGCATCATGTTTTATTGTAAGCAGTCAAAATTGTATAGTATTAGATCTCTTTTAGGTTATTGACACTTTACAGTCAGTATAAACTGATAAATGAGAAGTATTTTTATAAAATTAAACAGTATTTATTATATAAGAATAATTTTTTTAAAACCAACTATCTTAGTTTTATGGCCTGAGAACTTTGTCTGTGTCAACTTAGCAACTGTCTAAAGCACTAAAACATTTTTCAGTGTTGATAATTTAAAATAAAGTTTCCACTTGTATGTATGAGAATTAATAGATTGCCTTAAAGTATGTTTTTCAAAATACACCTTGAATTAATGCCACTTTAATTAAGCTGTTAGTTGTGTTCTGAATGTTTGGAAATGTTTCTGAGAATTCCTGTGTTATCATGCCCCCCTTAGCATTTCAAAAAATTTTAAGTAGAAAATTAACTTAAATTTATTACGTACAACTATGTGAGATTTTATTTTTTATTTTTAAACATATTTAAAATTTGTGAATGCCTAAGAATGTGAACTTTTTTTTAAAACTTTGATATCTTGAATGGATAAGTCTAAGCAAAATTGAATTTAGAGATTTCTGGCAAACACCGTCTTCTTGAGATACACTGGCTTTTCATACCTTCTCTTTCATCCTTTTTTAAAAGAAATGACAGTCATGCTATTGTGTAGGCTAATGAGCCAAGTGTTTGCTTCCTTCTGGAGGCTTGCTCCTTCAACGTGAAGTTGGGCATTTACTTCTATCAAACACATAAGTCTGGTCTTAAATTTCCTACAACATCACTGGAAGATTTTTATTGTGGATTAGGAATTTTAAATAAAAAACTATGTAATCATTATATTGTGGAAAACATTTGTTTTAAGAAGCCTGTCTAATTTATTTGAAAGATATAGTGATAGACTGATTTTGTTATTTTGGTTGTGGTCTCCTGTCATTTGACTTGTGTTTGTTTTAACCAGGGCTAAATACATGTATGAAAAGTCATTGTTGATTTATCATGCTGGTTTTAATTCACATTTGTATACATTTAAGCAATTTTCCAATTTGCTAAAGGCTTAGGTAAAAAGTTCATTATGATTGTACATTTCTGATGAACATACCATAACAAGTAGAGAAAAAAAAAATTCTTTCCTCTTATTTTCTGTCATATTCCCCTTAGAATAAGATCTGATTTTTTAAAAAATATTTATTCTTGAGTTTTAGGTAGACACAATATCTTTATTTTACATTTATGTGGTGCTGAGGATCGAACCCAATTCTTCATTCATACTAGGTGAGCGCTCTACCACTAAGCCACAACCCCAGCCCCAAGATCTGAAATTTTGAGCCAAAATTCCCATTGCTTTTAGAGAACAGCTACTTTTGTACCCACACTTTGGAGACATTTTGATAGTGCTATGATGTTAAACAGAATCTTTCCAATGTGTTGACTCCTTGCCAAGATAAACTTCATCTTTGGATGGATGTTCATTGGCTTGAAGTAGTCTGTATGGTAAATACTGTATTTGAGGCATTAATGGTTTTTATAACTACCATCCAAGAACATTTCCCTTGGAAAAGCAATTGATCTTGTACCCAGAAGTTCATTCAAGTATGGTTAAGTAGGAAATATTGCCAAAAACAAAACCACTAGAGGTAACTTCTAGTGGAAGCTGAAATGAAGTAGTTATCAAAGCTAGTTCTTTCAGGGCAGGAGAAGATTGCTCAGCCAAATCTGAACTATTATTTATAATTTATGCAGGTTGTATTTAATTGATTCCTGCTATGAGGAGACAGTAGTGGCAAGGCTATGTTTTCGTATGATTGTTTCTAGTTAAACTAGTTCTTTGTTGGGTACTTCCAAGTCTTAAAAAAGAACACTAGAAAATTAATTATTTTGTTTTTTCATTCAGAAGCCCCATAAGTTAATCTGCTAAAGCAGTTCTTCAGTACATTGTCAGTAATTTATTTGAATTATTTTAGATCCTTTAAAGCCTAATTTTGCCAAATATGAACAGTTTTAAGGGCTGGGGATGTGGCTCAAGCAGTAGCGCGCTCGCCTGGCATGTGTGCGGCCCGGGTTCGAGCCTCAGCACCACATACAAACAAAGATGTTGTGTCCGCCCAGAACTAAAAAGTAAATATTAAATTCTCTCTCTCTCTCTCTCTCTCTCTCTCTCTCTCTCTCTTAAAAAAAAAAAAAAAATGAACAGTTTTAAGTACGTGGCTTTAAACTAAAACAATATTGTTTCATAGAAAAGCTAATTTTGTACTTCTCTCCCTGAACAGTATTTTATATTTCTGAAGGAACTAAATTATCTGAATTATTTTTATTTTTAAGCTATGTCCTATATAGATTTAAATTTTTTTTCATTGCAATCATAAGACTATGCACTCAGATGTTGGTGACAATTTTTTATCATCTTTTTGTTCACTAATGGTTATAGTCAAAGCAAAAGGCTTTGAGAATATAGCTGATCATGAATTGACTGTAGGATGTTTTTAAATTTTGATATATTTATTATAAATATGCTAACATTACTGAATACTTAAATTCTTAGGAGATGAATACATTCTAAAACATTGACCTTGTGCTTTTATATGTGTGTGTGTGTGTGTGTGTGTGTGTGTATTTAGTTGTAGATGGACACAGTACCTTTATTTATTTTCTTTATATGTGATGCTGAGAATCAAACCCAGGCCTCACACATGCCAGTGAGTGCTATACCACTGAGCCACAACCCCAGCCCAAACTTGTATGCTTTCTAGCTATCTCATTAAGGACTTTTATTACACCCCTCATCTCTTTGACTTTAGTCTTTGATCATTGCCTCTACCCTCCTCAGGAGTTTCCTCCCATCCAATCTTCTAATTCATCTCAGTTTGGCTTATAAAACCACTGGCTTTACCTTTCAGAAACAGTAACAGTAAAGCTTTAATCTTTTGGTTTGTTTTGGTAGTTTTATGCAGATAAGTTAAAAAATACATATATACGCACACACGCGCGCGCACACACACACAGAGTTAACAAAAATAAATAAAAATACTATTATCCTTCTGCCTGACAACTATTTGTTATTTTGGATATTCATCCTTTCAGATGTACTTAGACACATGCAGACATAGCACACCCTTTATATGGACATATTTTAATGAGAAATAATAACATTTTCATGTTTGTGTCATTTCTAAATTTTTGAATCCACTACCAGATGCCTATAATGACATTCCTATTATTTTACAAAATTGTGTCTCTTTTGAATTTGCCAAATATTGTTTTATTTGGGTATTTTATTTATATCAAGGTTGTTCAGAGAGATGCCATGCTCTTTTCATCAGATAATGGTTTTATATCAGATAATCATTTTATTCCTTTCATTGAAGCAAGTCAGCATGTGGAACTTGACATCCCAGTACAGAAGAAAAGTGTCTTCCGGTTCAATCCACTTTTAAAATTCTGTAGCAGTGTCAAAAAGTGCTCTCATTTCTTATGAAATAAAAATGAATTGTGCATGAATACAAAAAGATTACTAACTGTGTTAACCTTTCCAGAAATTTAGTAAAATGCACACCTTAAAAGGCTAATTTACCTTTCTATTTCCCAAATTCAGCATGCCCCAAATTACCATACAACAAGGAGACAAGTCCTTCTTTCTACTTTGCCAGTGAGTTGGGTTTTTTATACTAATTTTAATTGTACAGTAAAACACTTTTTAAAGAATACATGTTAAGGGAGCAGACTTGTTGAACATTATTTTCCTTGTGCTAGACAAAATCATTAAAAGTATGATATCTATAAATAATTCAGAGTTTTGAAAAAGGAAATATGACCCAGCTTAAGAGAGCTGGAGTTAATGAAAAATTGAGTCGTTTGAGAAATTTTTGCATACCAAGCAAACATGTTACTGTTTGGGAAATGCCTAATATTTTCCTTGTTCAAGCAAACTTCTGGATAGTGGTTTTTCTTTTTAAATACCAAGGTACAAGCTTTGTATATAAAACTTAAAACCCTTGGTTTTTGTTTGTCATTTCTTAGTATCCTTATAAAGAAATTTATTCTTACCAGGGTAATTTTTTTTTTTTTTTTTTTTTTTGTATGTGTGTGTTTTGAGATCCTGGAGACTAAACCCAAAGCCTCATGCATACTAGGCTCTAAGTCATGTCCTGTGCCCCTTACCAAAGTTTAGAATTGTATAGGGTTGATGAAAAACGAGGGGAGAAGCATTTCAGTCCTTTGAATCTTTGTATGACTGGAGGTTTAAAATATTCAGATAGCAGATACATTCATGTGTGTCTGGAGCTTCACTCAAAAGGAAACCAAGATCTTGCAGCGGGTGCCTCTTGTGCTCAGGTCTCCTCTCCCACAGTGCAAAGGGAAGCAGTGGCTCCTGCGTGAAGAAAGTCTGGCAGGGCTCTCTTTCAGAAATGAACTTGTGAGGTGGGTTTTCCACTATTTGTAGGACAACTTTTTTATAATAAGGCAGGTCATGGACTTGGGTATTTGAATAGGGAGGGTACTAATTAATAAAAATTTTTGAGAAATGTATGCCATTAAAGTATGTCCTTTGAGTGAAATACCATATTCTAGAGGATATAAGGATTAACATTCTTATGTTAGGGAATACATTTTGAATTATTTTGGAATGACTCAATGTCTGACCCTAGTAAATGCCAGACTTAGCATTTCAAAAGCATTTTGACCTTAAATTTTCATTAATTGTGCCATGACTTGGTATCCAAAAATAAGTTGATCAAAGAAGTATTTATTTGGTGCTAGGAAATGTTAACAAATTTAATCCTTTAATAGATGCTCTTTAAAAAGGAGTCTTGCTGTATGTATATACTATTAAAAGGAAAATATGTCTGTGATTATAGTGTATAAAAGGTAGTGCCAGTGATTAATTTTATTGCATACTCAAGTTGAGGTCTCAAATGTAGTTATCCTCACCATCTTACTGTCTCTGTTAGTAGTCCGGAGTAATTTTCCTGGTAAGTAGCTAAAAGGTCCTTAATCATCACACCCAAGCATTAATTGCTTTAGTGCAACTTCCCCTAAAAGGGAATGGAAGTTCTTTTTTAAACAAACTAACCATTAAGCTGCTACTTATAATTTAATTTGCTAATTAATCTTCTCCATTCTGAGCCATTTTGTCATAGTTTGGTCAAATTGCCTTTTATTCCCCTCAAGCATTTTCAGTTTTTGTTCACATCCATTTTTCTGAATTTACATCAAATTTTAAATTTGGAATCCTTTGTTTTGTTTCATTTTTAAAGTTTTGAAGTGCTGGTGATCTGTAACAACTTGTACATCCAAGGTCAAAATGATAAAACCTAGTTACAAATTGAACACACTTTTATGGACTGAATTTGTTTCAAGGGATCATGGTTGTTTTTGGAATGTGGTTAATATTACAAGAATTTAACCAATAGCATATTTAGAATTTTAAATATTTATGCCAAGGAACATGTTGAATGGGAAAGTTATGAACCAAGTCTAGCCCAAAGAAGCAATAGTTCTTCGACTATCTGGACACAATCCAGAAGATTCTGTGAAGGCTACTGAAGTTTTTATAAATAGAAGTTTAACTAATTAATAGCTAAATTTCAATTTGAAAAAATAATTTTTAACTTCCCTGGAATCTTAAACAGCAGGTGTTGCCTGGTGCAGTGGCATACACCTGTAATTCCACCAGCTCTGGAGGCTAAGGCAGGAAGATCACGAGTTCAAAGCCAGCTTCAACAATGGCAAGGCACTAAGCAACTCAGTGAGACCCTGTCTCTAAAATAGGGCTGGGGATGTGGCTCTATGGTTGAGTGCCCCCGAGTTCAATCCCTGGTAAAACCAACTCCTGTGCCACCCGCATCCAAATTAGCAGGTGTAACAAAAGCAGTTAAATAATACACTGAGCTAGAACCCTTTGTTCTTCATTTCTTCTAATTCTGCTTTTTTTTTCCCTTGTTTATCCTATCTCAGTTTCTTTACCTTATCTATCCCTCTTCTTTTAACTGTGTTTTTCCTATCTCTTCAGTTTATCTCCTTCCCACCTTGTAACTGGCCTTTTAAAGAACCAAACCATAATTTTGTTATTATTATTGAATTAAAATGTAAGTTTCACATTTTTTCCTAGTTACTCATTTTTCTGAAAGAATTCCTTGCTATGGGGTCTTTTGAGTTCAAAGATGAACAAAGAAAAATATTTCTAACAAGACCTCTTTGAAAATTTATTTGTAGTTTATAATGGATATATTTCATCTCCTTAGATAATGCCTGTAGCTTGCTAGTATTTAGGTAGGGAGAGAATGGGTTTTGTTGCTTTAAACAAAGCCCATGTAGATTTACTTGCTTTGGTTCCTTGTAGTATTTGTGCTATGCATGCAAATTAGCTATGGATTAGAATACTCCACTGTACAGCCTGAGAATATTGGTAAATTTATGTATAATTTTAAAAATATGAATAGTAAAAGGGCATGGTTTCAGTATCCTGTAGTCCCAGCTACTTGAGAGCCCCAGGCAAGAGGATAGATCACTTGAGCCCAGGAGTTCAGGGATAGTCTGGGCAGCATAGCAAACTCCCAACTTCTTCTTTTTTTTTTTTTTTTTCAGTTGAACATGGACACAGTACCTTTGCTTTACATTTTTATTTATTTTATGTGGTGCTGAGGATCAAATCCAGTGCCTTACATGTGCAAGGCAAGCACTGTACCTCTGAGCCACAACCTCAGCCCCAGCAAACTCCCCACTTTTAAGAAAGTAAATGAGTCTGGGAATATAGCTCAGTGATAAAAAATGTACTCATTTAGCATGCATGAGGCCCTGGGCTCAATCCCCACACTACAAAAATAAGTGAATGAATGCATAGTAAAAATATTATATCATTTTCTTTCCAAATAATTTCAGAATTTTTACATTTTTCCAGTTGATGAATAATTTAATTATGAGAATGGGGAGGCACAATTATTCTCTTTGTGATGACTGTATTTTATGTATAAAAATAATATAGCACTTGGCTGGAATTTGTTTTCTTTTTTTGGCAGTACTAGAGATTGAGCCCAGGTCCCTATACCACTGAGCTACATCCCTAGCCCTTTGCATTTTTTTATTTTGAGACTGAGTGTTGTTAAGTTGCGGTGGCTACCTTGAACTTGTGATCCTCTGCCTAAGCTTCTGAAGCTTCCCTAACTGGGATTGTGGTGTACACCACTGCCTGGTCCAGAGTTTATTTTTGTAGTGCTGGAGATCAAACTCATTGTCTTGCACACTCAGGAGGCCAGGGCAGGAGGATTACAAATTCAAGACCAGCCTCAGCAACTCCGTGAAACTCTGTCTCAAAAGCGGTGGGGATGTAGCTTAGTGGCAAAGTGCCCCTGACTGAGTTCAATCCCCAGTACCCAAAGCAAAAACAAAAACAAACAATGTGTTACCACAGTTTTCTTGTTTAACTGTTCTACTGTACGTTGACTCTTACAGTCTGGAAGTTTTTCCCAGGATCTATACAGAATTGCTTTGTTCAGTCTCAACTGGATATTAAAGAATACCCACCCAGTGGTGGCATGGCAGGATATGCACAAGTGATCCCAGCAGTGCAATTTGCCTTTCCCATCCGTCTTCTAAGAGACACATTTGCAGTTGGAAGGGAAACTATTTGGTCTGAAGTGTTGGTGACCCTCAACTTTAGACATCAAACATTATAAGACTGCTACATGTACCTAACCCTCTGCATACCATTGACATGGAGCACATCCAGAGTTGTCCCTGCTGTGACTCTTGGCAACATTGGGTACTTGATCCCTAAAGTGTGCTTGCTTTTCCCCCATCAACCCCGCAATGTGTCTGTGTTTGCTAACACATTACATGAAGAACGTGTGGAACAACTTTGGCATCATTTCTGTGTGCAGACTTGACTTCTGAGGGATAGAAGGATTCATTTTTCTTGGGAGAGGGCTGGGAGTTAGGTGCTGCTAGAGCTGTGGCTTGAGAGTATTCTGTTCTCTCTGCACTGCTGCAGGAAGGTTAAATTTGTATTCGGTACTCTTCAGAGTTAGTAGAAGCAGTGGACATCTTACTGGGCTTTGATTCTCGAGTTGCCAGTTTAGGAAGTCATAGACAGTCATTGTACCTGATTTCCCTGTTTTGTACCAAGGTAGAGCCCATGCTGAGATTCATGAAGAATTGGTTTGTAGGTTCTTATCTTTAATGATCACATTTTAACTTAAATAAGTCTATCGTTTTTTACATAGTTTCATCTTGTTTTATAAAGCAGAGGTGGGAGATTCTTAGTAGAACCTTAGGGAACAAACTGAGTGGAGGAGTGACTCCTGTGAATTGGCCTCGATAGTAGAGCCTTGACCTTGCCACATACCTGACACATCTCCTCTCCCAGCCCTATTACAGTGTGTGCCCACAGAACATTGTGCCAACTCCAGGGCAGTAGCATGGTGAGGTTAGCCAGATGATGGCCTTTAGCAAGAAAGTGAGTGTGAATCTGTAACTTCACGACCATGAGTTTAATTGCTTGAATTGTTCCTGCTTAGGCTTTTACGTCGCGTCTGCAGAAAACTAGTGACTATTTTTAGGAGTAAATTCAAACTAGCCAGATTTTAATGTGTACAAATCAGATGTTAGTCTGATTGTTAAGCAAAACTTTAAATTTATTTCAAATGGCTATAGAGATTGTGAACAGCATATGTTAGGCATTATAATATCAAGAAAGCTCAGTTGATAAGTATACGAGGAGCAGTGACAGTCATTGAACATGTCCGTTGGACACGGTCCTTTTTCTTTCACTTTAGTTTCCACGGGCTCCCTTGCTCAGCAGTATGCGCACCCTAACACTACCCTGCACCCACATACTCCACATCCTCAGCCTTCAGCTACCCCCACTGGACAGCAACAAAGCCAACATGGTGGAAGTCATCCTGCACCCAGTCCTGTTCAGGTAAGGAAAAACTTGGGCCTGCATGGAGCTGCCTCCTTGTTCTGGCTACTGAGCACTGTCTTCAGAGTCAGGCAAGGTGCAAGTCACCACAGGCTCAGAACACACAGTACAGCCACCAGCATTCAGCTACTCACCTATGGAGTCGGGGTGGGGGTTAAAAAGGGAGATTTAAGGGCTGGGGTTGTGGCTCAGCAGTAGAGCGCTCACCTAGCACGTGTGAGGCCTTGGGTTCAAGCCTCAGCACCACAAAAATAAATAAATAAAATTAAGGTATTGTGTCCAACTACAACTAAAATATATTTTTTAAAAATATAAAAAGGAGCTTTAAGGTATATGATGAAACTAAGGTGATTAGATAAGCTTTGAAAAATCTAATTTCATGTGAAGTTCATAATTTATCATAAATTCATATTTGCTTGGGACTTTACTTCAATCCTAAAGTTTATGTGATGAAATTTTTCCCTTATTAGCTTCTTTAGTCATATTTATGAATGCAGGTAGTTAGGAGTCTCTTTGACAGAAAGAATCTGTCAGTTCCCTCTGCTTGATTGGGGACTTGTAACTCCCAGTCTGAGAGTCAGGCTTTAGGAATGTCTCTGGGCAGGAAGCACCACCCATCCTCACTGTTCTGCCCCTGGACTTTGCTGTGCTCTCATCTCACGTGTGCCTAGGAGAGCCCATTTTCAGGTGCAAAGCACTGTTTATATGGCCCTTAATCTCACGTTTTCCCCATTGCTTTGCAGCACCATCAGCACCAGGCCGCCCAGGCTCTCCATCTGGCCAGTCCACAGCAGCAGTCAGCCATTTACCACGCGGGGCTCGCACCAACCCCACCTTCCATGACACCTGCCTCCAATACGCAGTCGCCACAGAATAGTTTCCCAACAGCACAACAGACCGTCTTTACAATCCATCCTTCTCACGTTCAGCCGGCATATACCAATCCACCCCACATGGCCCATGTACCTCAGGTAATCCAGCATTAGCCTACTTCCTGTGAAGACGGAGTAGGGTGTAGTGGTGCTCAAATAAGCAGCAAAGAGCCAGATGCTCTCAAAGCTAGGAAACCCTGTGTGTGGTGCCATTTGCCTGTCTCCTTTCCCTGCTCAGTACACGTGATCTGGCCCTCAGTTAAATGTCGGTGTGATTTTGTAACGGGATCAGTGAAGTTGCTTACTTACTGGTCAGTCCCTTAACGTTTCCCAGCTGAGACCTTAAAAGTATCTTTCTTTGACTCTGGAATGTACCCAGTCCTTTCCTCCCTGTGTCTGCTTTGCTACGTCTCTTTAGCTTCACTCCTATATATACGTGTGTGTGTGCGCATATATATACACACCCCTCCACACATACACACAGAAGCCTGGCAGGGTTGGAAGGCCTTCACAGATTCTCAGCTGAGTCAGCTTGAATGCTAATCAGAAGTCTTTCCAGATGTTTTTCCTGGTTATCCCTCCATCTGTTTCGACCATGTGTTGTACTTCTTGAGAGAGCTTGGCCTTGTACTTTGGTGCAGTGTAAGTAGAAGCTGGAAACACCCAGGTGCCCTGGAAGCATTTTGGAGCACCTCCAGTATAAGCTTCCAAAGGTTGAAAGGTGTGGTTGCCGTCTGCATCAGCTGCTGACAGAGGTCCAGTGCAGGCCTGTGCCAAGTTGGATTGTAATGAGGAGAAGGAACTGCACTGAAGTTGGGCTCTAGTGCTGTCCTGGAAGGCCCTCCCTGGAGCTGTTGAGGGTGACCTGGCTGTATTAGGTGTCTTTGCTGTTAGTTTATAACAAAACTCTCTTAGGTGGGCTTAGCGAGACCCTATCTCACTGAATTCCATTTCCTGTCAAATAGTGTGCCAGTGAGGCTCTGGCAAGGTGTGGGCTAGAGTTTGGACACAGTTGGAGCTCTCTCAGAATGTACCTTGTAACCAGTGGTCCACAGTGCAGGAGAGTTGACTTCCTCACCCTGTAGAGTTCAGGTTCTGTAGTGTAGTACACTGCAATTTATTTGTTCCTGCTAATGGGGAGGGAGCGGTTTGTTCAGTGTGGGTCAGAGTGCTTTGGTGGAATCCGCTTCATGAGAACTGGGGTCTTGTAGGTGCCTAGCAGAAGATGGTGGCTAAATAAGTATGTGAATTCAAATATAAGTTGGGGTTCCAGAAAACCTTACTTGTTGATTTTGTGCAGAAAGAGTATAAAAAGGTTAATGCAGTGAAGCCCAAATATGCCATGGGCCTATTTGAATGTGAGTTAATTTGCATTTGCATAAAATGCATTTCATTTGAAGATTATGGTCTAGAACAGTGTGGAGTCTGTGAGGCAGGAAACGAGGGCTCTTCCTGGCCCTGCTAACCCCTTGCAGAGCTGGGGTCCGGCTATTTGGGCTAAAATCTCCTTTCCAACTTGAACTTGCTATCACTTGGTACAGAGACACTGGACTGGCCCAGATAGCTTCAGATGACTCCTTCCCATAGCACTGGAGCCATTACCTGCAGCCGCCGCCTCCTCCGCCTCCTCCGCCTCCTCCTCCTCCTCCTCCCGCTCCATCAGCATACCTTTTAGAAAATAAAGAGAGCCCAAGAATTCCTTCTCCCTGCCTGATGAACAGGCCACAGCAGAGGGGGCGGGCCACGCGAGTAGAGGGCTAGGATAACCCCTATGATGGCATCTGACAGTCTTGCTTATCAGGTAGCAATCTGCTTTCCTGTTTGAAAGGAATGCTCTCTGTAAAATGACTTCAGGCCTCACAAGGAAGCCTGATTCTGATGCACCATTGTGTCTCATGTAATAGTAAGTTGAGGAAGCTGCCCTTGCTCAGGTCAGGCCTGCTCTTTTGTGAAGACCTTGCCCCCCACACAGATTCAGTGATGAAAAACACTGGCAATCAGGTCATTGCAGCCCTGGCATTTACTCAGGCTTACATGATGCCTACTCCCTCAGCCCTGCAGGATATATCAAAAGGTGAACCAGGGATTGTCCCCAGAGGAGGAAAAAAAAGGGGGGCCCTGAGGCCCACCCTTGTCCTTTCCTGAGTGTCCCAGACCAGTGAAAGGAACAGTTGACATGTTGTTTAAGCCGGAGATGTTGCCTGTATGCGTAAAAGAGCTCTCTGTTTCAGGCTCATGTACAGTCAGGAATGGTTCCTTCTCATCCAACTGCCCATGCGCCAATGATGCTAATGACGACACAGCCACCCGGCGGTCCCCAGGCCGCCCTCGCTCAAAGTGCACTACAGCCCATTCCAGTCTCGACAACAGCGCATTTCCCCTATATGACGCACCCTTCAGGTGAGGCGTGTGTGTGCAGGGGCCGCCGGGGCACCCCAAGCATTCTGCTCGCACAGGTTGAATGGCAGGCAGGGCCAGCGCTTCTAGCCCCGTACTCAAGAATAGCAAGACCCGTCTTAGTGTGCACAGGAGGGACTGTGATGATCAGTCAAGGTCAGGGTCTGAGGCTTCCAGGAGCCGAGTCTGTGTGTGTTCTGATGGTATACAGGATTTGGCTTGATGAGAAGCAGCAGCAGCAGCATTCCGGATAGCTGACGCATGCCTAGGACTCAGTTGGCCTTCCTTGTTATGATAGGCTGGACAGGGCAGTGTGTTCCTTCCTGAGTCCCAACAGGCTGACATGTGGGGGGTTATTACCATGGCAGAGTTTGATTGTAGCGTGGAGACCACTGATGAGCAAGTGCTGTGTGCGGAGTGGTTTGAGTGTAGCAGCAGCGCCAGCCTACGCCCCGGCCGGGGAGGATACCCGCGATTGTGCTCTGGAGCTGGATGGCTGCCATGGCGATATTTCAGTCTCACCTGTCACTCTGAAAGCAATACTGTGCTTGGCTAAGATTTGGGGAGGGGGTACATTAAGGCCTTTTCTCCTGCCCCTGCGCAGCAGGTCTTCTGGGAGTTTTATCTGAAGTGGTTTTACGTCTGACTGGTTTGTTTCTACCCACCCACCACCCACCCCCTATCCCTCCCCACCTTGGTACAGATGGGAGGGGGCAAGTGAATAAATTCTGAGTCCTATTCAGTTAGTACAAGGATAGTTCACAGGATAGTGCTGCAGAGGCACTAGGCTAATATTCAGTGTTGCCAGTGTTCTGTTTAAATATTCACTTTTCTTTCTTACAGTACAAGCCCACCACCAACAGCAGTTGTAAGGCTGCCCTGGAGGAACCGAAAGGCCAAATTCCCTCCTCCCTTCTTCTGCTTCTACCAACTGGAAGCACAGAAAACTAGAATTTCATTTATTTTGTTTTTAAAAAAAATATGTTGATTTCTTGTAACATCCAATAGGAATGCTAACAGTTCACTTGCAGTGGAAGATATTTGGACCGAGTAGAGGCATTTAGGAACTTGTGGGCTATTCCATAATTCCATATGCTGTTTCCAAGTCCCGCAAGTACCCCAGCTCTGCTTGCCAAAACTGGAAGTTATTTATTTTTTAATGGCCCTCAAAAAAGTCATGAACACATCAGCTAGCAAAAGAAGTAACAAGAGTGATTCTTGCTGCTATTACTGCTAAAAAAGGAAAAAAAAAATCAAGACTTGGAACACCCTTTTACTAAACTTGACAAAGGTTCAGTAAACTCTTACCGTCAAACTGACGGATTATTATTTATAAATCAAGTTTGATGAGGTGATCACTGTCTACAGTGGTTCAACTTTTAAGTTAAGGGAAAAACTTTTACTTTGTAGATAATATAAAATAAAAACTTAAAAAAAATTAAAAAATAAAAAAAGTTTTAAAAACTGATATCAAGTTAGTGTGTGTTTGTCTAAGCTACTTCGTGTACTGTAGGAGACTGGCTATCGAGGCAGGTGGGCTGCTTGCTACTTTAACTTCCTGGAAGGTCGTGGCTATGAATGACTTTTCTTCTTCACCTTTAGTTCTGGTTCAAGGTATCTCTAGAAAATGACAAGACTGAGATATTCTCTTTGGTGGATTAGCAGTCGGCTTCAGAAGGAGGAAGGCTGGCCAGAGTTGGGCAGCACTGAAAGTCCACAGCCTCAAGCTGGCGCCGATTCTGTAAGCTTTCTTTTTCATATCTCCAGAAACAAAATGTATTAGTCAGAAGCTGTTCCAATGTAGACATCTGTTTTACCAGTAGAGGGCAGGAGACGAAAAACTGCAATAAAATCAAGCATGATAGTGCCTACCTATAGTCCCAGAAACTTGGGAGGCTGAGGCAGGAGGATCAGAAATTTGAAGCCAGCCCAGGCAACTTAGACCCTGTCTGCAAAAATAAAAAAGGCTGGAGTTGTAGCGCAGAAGTATTTGTTAGTTTGTGGGAGGAAAAGGGGAAAAGCAAGTATTTGAGCAGGATAAAGATTTTAATAGAGAATATAGTCTTAATAGCGTTCAGACATTGTGGCAACAAATGAAGATTCTGAAAAATTTTTAATTCACATATAGCAACTTGTACATTATAGCAAAATTCGCATTATTCAAGAATAAGTTACTTGTACAGTACATAAACAATACATAAAGATTTTCCAAATTCCTTCTGCTTATAACGATACAAGATGAATCCACTCTGTGTTATCACTATGTGCTGCTTATTCCAACCAAACTCTGGATGTCTGATGTGTGTCCTTGTTAAAAGGCAGTGGATAATATACTTTGAAGATGTTAGTGCTAATATGACACTTGCAATAGCCTTAGCCCTGAATAAAAAGCATGAAGGAATCTCAGGCAACTCTCAGGGAAGAGAAGTTCAAGGCCATGATTTAAGTTAAGAAACTGTTATGTAAAAATAGTGTTCTCTGGCCCAAGATTTTAATGATTGCTATTCCTTTTTCCTACTCGGTCCAGAAATGATCAAAGGCAGAAGATTTATACCAGATAAAGCCATATGGATTGCTGGTCTAAAATTCAAGGCAGGTTAGTTGACTTAATTCTTTGGTGCTGGTGACTGTTAGTTTGTAAAAATTCAGTAGTCAGAAGGAAGTGGTGGTGTTGGGAGCTGTTGAGTGATACTTATGGTCCATAAGTAGGGCTAACTGGACAAATCCTGCCACTTAGTGTCCAGTTTGGTGCTCAGAGCCTTGCTCTTAGTTGCTGGCCACGGCCTCACCTTGCCAGTGAGGATTGGCAGAAGGGAAATGTGGACTGTGGTAGACTAGCTGCAGCCAGCAGGGTGCCTGCCCCTCACTGGTGAGAGTATCTACCCTGGGGACAAACTGTTCCTCTGCTCTAGCAGAAAGGTATCAACTTAGTGTCACTTTTTCCAGGGCCATGAAGGGACTTTTTGTCAGAATGTATGTAAGCCATCCTGGTAACCTGGACACAGGTAGTATTCTGGGGACTTCCAATTGTCTGTCAAAAAATTTTGGCAACCTGTAGTTTAGACCTGCTAAGTTTGCAGTACCTGGTGTGCCTTGTGGCACTACTTGAGATGTGTATATTGTTGAGCAACTGCTGAGAAGTGAATGCCTCTAGTTGGAAGATGTTTGAATTTATGCCTGGAAGGAGGGCATTCACTTGGTTCACTATCCACCTGTTCCCTTTCCTATGCACATAGGAGAAAATCTGGATCAATGACCAATCAGAATTGCCTTTCTGTCTTAGAAAAGAAATTCCAGAATGTTGCTTACTTCTTCAGTGCACACTTAGCTTTTTTTTCTTCTTCAAGATAAGCCTGCTTATAGAAAATAAAGACCAACATCCTTAAAAATGGACCATGGGCTGGGTGTGGTGGTGCTTAGCCTGTGATCCCAGTAACTTGGAAGGCTAAGGCCGGAGGATTGCAAATCCAAGACCAGCCTCAGCAACTTAGTGGGGCCCTTTCTCAAAATAAAAATTGAAAAGGGCCGGGAATGTAGCTCCATGATAAAGAGCCCCTGGGTTCAATCCCAAATATTTATAAACAGCAACAACAAAAAAGGACCACAGCTCTACTGTATGATCCATGAACACACCAGGAGAGTTTTCAGAGTGGTACAGAGGTGGCTGCTTCTCCCCCTAAGAATCCCCAGAAGTGAAAGTTTCATCTCTTGGAGTAAGTAGCAGGAACAGACCAAACCTTTCCACCAGATAAGGAAGGCAGTACTGTTTGTTTGGGGCTGAGGTTTTATGTCACTTTTGAAGTTGGGAATGTTAAGCTGTGCTAAACTCCTCTGTTTCCTGGAAGCCTGGTGGCTGTACTGAATGGTCTGCTAGCATGCAGGAGCAGCTGACAGCACTGTCACTGCCCCCTCTGTTTATGAGCCTACAAGTGGAAGGTTCTGGACAGAGCCCATCCCATATGAATTGTTTCACTTGTGAAGGGCAAGTATAGATGGAGGTCTGACCTCCCTGACAGACTGTGCCCAAGTGTGCTGGGACAGAATGCTGGCTATGAGCTATGGCACCAGATTCTTAGCTTCCATTTTGGCTCAAAAAGGAGCCTAAAGCCTACTTAGGGGATAATTTAGTAAGCCATTGGGGGCCTCTGAGCTAGCCTTTTGGTTGAAGATTGACTACAAAGGGTCCAGGAGCCCTTCTTGCCTGTCCCTCCCCCAAACACCCTACCCCCAGTTAACTGAAGTCTCTGTGAAGCTGCTGTAAACCGGAATCCAGTTTATTTATAAGGCACCAGGGTAGAACTGTTCCCTGCCACCCTACTTCAGGAATGGGTGACACACTGCCCTCTGTACATTTAGGAAGGACAGTAGCTACTCAGCAGCTGTCCTGAGGACACCAGGCTGGCTCCGAACACGAGCACGTCAAGCAGGGCTTGCATAGCTGTCCCTGACTGCAGAAACAGCCTGGGTGCTAGTTGAAACAGTGCAATGAAGTAAGCAATGGTTTAGTTTTGAAACCTGAATCCTTTAACAAAATCTGAGGTAAAATGTTTAAAATCGTTTTTGACTTTTAGCTTGTCTCTCTGACAGAGCTTTTGTCCTAAAGCTGAGAGTAGGAGTAGGAGTGGTCACCTGTGGCGTGGACCTGCCACGGGACTGCTTTTACAATGTGAAAATCCAGGGCTTGTTAGTGTTTTGGGCTTCCTGGTGACCCCCCCCCCCCCCCCCCCCCCGTAGAAAGTCTGTCAGCTGTGACAGTGTCAGTGAAAAGGAACAAGGTTCCACTGCCAGCTCCAGCCCTCACCCCAGCTCCTCTGAGTGACGGGCCTGGACTCAGGGACCCAGGGCTAGAGCGAGCAGCATCTGTGGACAAGAACTACACCTGTAAACATAAGAAGTAAGCCAGGTGATGGACGGAACTCACATGGAGGCCCTTTAACAGGCCTAATAGAAGGGTCACATCCAAACTGGAAAGAGCAGTTGACAGTGTCCCTTAAATCTCTCTCTGGAAGGAAGGAAAGATCATTACATTCACAAGGCCACATTTCTGCTTGTGCTCCTGGGGCAGCTGCGGAGGCCAGGATCCCTCGATGTCCATCAGAGAAGTGTGTACTGGTTGTCTATGGCCCGCAGGTGGCTCCGTGAGGATGAGTCCATCTCGTAATCTGAGTCCCGGGCTCGACTCACAGGCTCCTGCTCCAGGTGTCGCAGGCTGTTGGCCAGTTCCTCGGGTGAAGGCACCAAGTGGAAGATTTGCTCTGGGGGTGACGATCGGCCTGGGAGACTCTCTGGGCCAGACCCCCTGGGACAACCAGAAGAGCTGAGGTGGGGAAGGCCCAGCTCCGAGTCCCAGCAAGGGAGGGAGAAAGGGAAGAGGACAATGTTGCTGGAACCTAGGGTAAGGACCGAGAGACCATGCTGTCAGAACACAGAACCACCTCTCTGCACTGCACGGTGTGCAGCCAGCTTTCACCCCCTCTGTAGCTCCCCATGCCAGCTACCCGCTTCAGGGAGGGTCCTTAGTTGTCACACCTGGTGGCTGGGAGACGACTACCACGTAGCTGGACAGCCGGACGTCGCAGGCAGCACCACATTCCAGTGGGATAGGTGAGCGCTGGAAATGATGCAGCATGTCCACCACTGAGGGAAAGTGCAGGTGTTGCACTCGGCACTGGCCTCGCTCCGTGAGGGACAGGCGCAGGTGCTGCAGGACAGAGAAGGCAGGCTCACACCGTCTCTGGGCTCCAGGGACAGCATTGGCACAGCCCCCACCTGCCCTGTTCCGTACCTTGGCTCTGCCCTGGAAGTTGAACGTGAGCACGTACTCCCCACGCCGCGACTCGCTCTGCCGCACCAGGAACACGCCGTGGGCATCAGGACCCTGCCGCTGCACCAGCTGGGCCGCCTGCACTCTGGAGATGGGGCCATGAAACCAGGGGTAGCAGGACAGGAAGTGATCTGTTTTCTGGCAGACTGGGTCCAGCAGTCCCCCGGGAGAAGCACCTGACGTACAAGATGGTTTAGTGGTGACTTGAGTGGGTGCCACACGTTCAGCGTACCAAGAGGAGGGGAGCACCTGACCCTACTTACCTTGGCTTAAGGAATCTCTGCTTCCCCTCCGGGAGCTGGACGCGCTACGCTCTGGGATGGTGGGAATGTGCAGTTCTGCATCTGTGCTCTCCAGCCTGCCAGAGAAGAGGCCATGCTTAAGGACCCCGTGGGTCTGGGTGGGCAGGTGGGCTGTGGAGGGGCGGGCCTCACCCTCGGCCTGCGCTATCCCAGAGCTCAGCCATCCACGAATTCAGCTGTTGCTCGTCTCCCACCTCAAAGATGATGTCTGTCCGGTCCTTCACCTGGCAGAGCAGAAAGGGACAGCTATGTAGGTCTGAGAAGTATCTTATCACCCCCTTGGTGTGGAAGCCCCGTCACTCACCCGCAGCACAAAGGTGTAGAGGTTGTCTGGCATCTCAAGGCGTGTGCATCGCCGGACCTCCTGGATGCTGGAGCAGGCTGTTTGGAGCTTGGGCTTTGAACTCTAGGGCAGCAAGAGGGGGCGATCAAGCCTTCTCCCTGAGGTCCCCGCTCCCCTACGGCTGTCTGCTGCTCCCTGGAGGGTTTGTGGAGTGCTTACGGCTAGCACCACCTTCCACTGAGATGCTAAGAATGCTGTGCTGAGGCATCCCTGCCTGCCTGGACCGATGGACTCCGCAGCTCAGACACCTGACTGAACTGACACCCTTGTCCTGGTGGTACACAGAGCTCTGCCCACCGTCCTCATCACACCCCAAATTACAATCAGCTGTGGAGCCACACTCTCTCCCAGGACTGTCAGGTGGCCTCTCGCACTCAGAGTAGTGGCTCTAGCCAGCCACTTTTGGGGTTTTCTCAGAAGGGAGATCCCCTCCCCACCTCTTGTGATAAGGCTGATCCTGAGGAAGGTCAGAGGTTAGAAGGAGCCAGAGATGAGGTGGGTAATGGACAAGGCAGCTGACTAGGTTTCCCTCCCTTCATCAGTGGCTTGTTCCCTAGGGGCCAAGAGACAACCAGGTGCTCCTGGAAAAGACCACAGCCCCTGCCAAGCCAGCAGAGGAGGGTAGGGGTGCAATAAGGCAGACTCAAAAACAAGTTCCTGGTGCCAGGAGAGCCACCTCCACCCAAAAGGTGCTGGAAGAATCCACCTGAGTGGGCTGGCCACCTGCCTGCCGCTTTAGGGGGTGCTGATAGAAAGTGGGGGGCAGGGCCAGCCAGGTTTAGATACTAGTCCCTGCTCCTGGTTGGTGGTCTCAGGGAAGGAAGAGCAGTGACCCTAGGGCTTACTGCTGTGAGGGAGAGAGAGTGGCTAGAAGCCACACAACTAGCAATCCCAGGCCCACAGGACCAGCATCACTGGGGCTTCTTCACCCCATTCCCACAGCAGGCCACTCCTTACACTCCCCTTTTCCTTCCTGCCCCAGCTGTAAGGCATTGATGCACACTTCCGAATTGGCACTGTCTGCACCCATCCCTCCTTTTTGGCTCCCCCCCACCTTCAGCGTCACTGGAGGAAGTAGGCCAGGCCCAGAGAGGAACAGCCCTGGTCTTCCTTTCAGTTCCTCTTGGGGCCCAATCTCAGTGCTTAAAGAAGCACTGAGACTAAACAGCAGAGCTGCTGGTTTCATTCTGACGGGGCCTCCCTTCCAGCTCTGCCCCAGGGGCTGAGGGACTGCTGAGCAGGCAAGCCAGGGAAAGAGGGTTCCCCCTCCTTACCTATGGTGGCCCTGCCCGCTGGCTGGTTCTTCCCCAGCTCCCACACAGCTCTGTGTGTGTGTGTCTGTCTCTCGTACGTGTACATGCACACCCCAGTGAGAACTCAGGCCAGTGTGCCAGCACCAAGCTGCCTGTTCTAATATAGTATGTGACACCAGGGGCTGGACCCAGGGCACTGGCCCCTGTGTGTGGACTGGCAGCAGCCCATCTGCGCTACAGAAGTAATGGGCAAGCCCAGGCTCCCTAGGCTGCATCTGCAGGCAGCACCATTTCAGGCATTTGCGAGGTGAGCAGCAGAGTGGCACTCACCACATCTTGCCTTCTGGGGAGCACTTTTGCTCAGGCCCACATCCAGAAAGCTGATCTCTGTGGCCAATCCAGTGGGAATGACCCATTTCTTTGCTGTGACTGCTGGGAAGCTCAAAGTGAAAGACAGACCAGCTCTGGCACTGATCCAACAGTGGAGCTTGCATTTCTGCAGCTACTTTTCTCCTGGACTTCATAGTTATCTTGCCCTCGAGTTTTTAGGGTCCAGCCCTGACCCTGCCACTTCCTGTAAAGGGCAAGAGACTCAGCCTCCTCCAGGCTGTGATTGTGTTAGCTTTGCAGCCATCTTTGGAGCTAGGATTGCAGCTCCATGAACACTTTACAAAGCCCTGGGTTCCATCCCCAGCACCACATGCAAAAAAAAAAAAAAAGAAAATGGGGTTGGGGGCTGACTCTCCTCATGAGCGTTGTCAGATTTCCAGGCTGGAGGGTTGAGCCCATGTATAACTAGTGTATGGATAGAGAATGGATTTTGCTTCTAGAGCCAGCCAAGCCCTGGGTTTGTCCCAGAGGGACAGCAGTAAGAAAGGCAGGTGCACAGCTATGCCCCTTTTCCTAGTGACCAAAGGGTCCCTCTTCCTCCCACGGTGGCTCTGGGGCCCCCAGCCTGCCTGCAGGAAACACACTGACACTGGAGGCAGACCCTTCATCACCTGCTAGGCCTCGAAGCTATCTTGAGAAATGATTCCTGTGCATCAAGGAACAGGGCCGGCACAGAGCTGCCTTGGCACCTTCCAGAAGCTTCTACCACACTAGCTGCATTCTATTCTTCCATGTTCCCATAGCCACCACAACTGGGGTCTGTCAAGCACCTGGCAGCCAGCTGCCCACATAAGACATGAGGGGGCTGGCGCAGCAAGGTTAGAAGGCTACAGGTGGCTGAATGTACACAGATGTGGACCTCTTGGAGAAGCAGGCCTGCTAGTTCCCCCTCTACAGGAAGCTAGGAAGAAAGGAATGGGGGGGAAACAGCACCTATCCATGTCCAAGTGTCCCAGACAACCCTGTGCTGAGCAAGGGCAGGCAGGGCCCTCACAATGGCTTTATTTCACCAGCCTCCAAAGGCCAGGCCCTATATAGCATGTGACATCCAAACTGGCCCACTGGGGTCCTCAGGCCACACCAGTCCTCTGGCAGTCTCATTTCCCCTAGGGCTGCTGAATCCTCCTTTGGGACATGAAGCAGAACAGCCCCAGAATCACTCCACTAGCCTTGCTCTCCCACCTCTGAGAACCTGGGCATGGAGCCAATTGGTGCCTCAACTTCCTTCAGTAACAGGGACAGCAAGCAGGTCCTACTGACCCAGGACTAGAGGCAGGCAGGAAGTAGTCTTGGATTAAGCTTGAAAAGGCTCAAAGACAATTCCAGATCCAGTTTCATGGATGGCTGATAAATGAATGAGCATTGCCTATGGGAAGTCCTTAATCCAGTCTTACTGGTTGGAATAAAAAAGCAAGCTATTTTGTATTGCAGTTTTTCTCCGAGCTTCCTAGCAGCTAAGACAACTCCAAGAGTTGATGGTTAAAGACTGAGAAGTCCTACAGCAGAACTCATTGAGCATTCCCAGGACTTTGTCCTCTTTTTTTGTAGACTTTATTGTCACCCATACCAAGATATCAGGGGGTCAAGGTGAAGAAACTTCCTAAACAAGGGTACTTAGCCAGTCTCTGGTGAATAGCATGGAAATCGAGCCTAAGAGGTAAAGGCCACCCAGAATCCTGCTCAGAAACCCCTAGATCTGCACACCACACAGCATCCTCCTTGCCCCAAGGTCTGAGTCAGCCAGTCCTGGACGGGACAGACACCCCTCCTTGCCTTGTCACCAGTTCAGCAATAGGGTAACAATGCCTCTGCCCTCCCATGAGAATCTGGCCATACTGTGTGTGCACAAGAGCCCTCAGGGGACTGGCATTGGCCAGGAGACACACTGGGCTGCAAGAACGATGCAGAGAGGCTCCGCACAGGAGCAGCTGCATCAGTGCACCTCTGCCCAGCACGCCCAGGTTCAGGAGGCCTCCCTCCACCTTCCCACCATTGGGTCAGGCAAAGTAAGTGGCTGTGTTTGCTGAATTTCTACCAAGTGGAGGAAAAGCAAGGCCCAGAGGCTGGCAAGCACAGGCCCTGGGAGGACAGAGCCATTATGGGACTGCCCGCCAGTGATTTCCAGAACATTTAGAGTCACAGGCCACCAACATGTTTAAAATTTTCTAAGAGAAGGTTAACAGAGGACATGTCCCAGAGGAAAGGAATCCTTGATATCAATTAGCCAGATTCAAGAGGGAGAAAACTCTCTCCCTGTCCTGGGCCATCTTGTGTCTGGAGATATGTGTGGGAGCTCATGTGATCCTCGTTGAGCCCACATCACAAATAAGAGAGGCTCAGAGAGGATGCTGCGACCTGGCCACCTCTGGAAGTGAATGGAGGCATAGCAGGGAGGCTGGACATGTGAGCCCCAGGAGACTTGGAGGAGGGGAAGGTCTGGCAGGCCAATCCCTTGACACAGAATGGTGGGTGTCCAAGGGGGAGGGAGAGTCGGGTAACATCCTGCACCCCAAAAGGTAGGCAGCATCAAAATGAACTGCCACCTGTCCTGACTCGCACTCGCGGAGACATCCAGGGTTCACTACCTCCCACCCCATCTCCTGCTCAAAACTTGCCCACAGCCCACTCACCTTGACCCTTGTCAGTTTCTTGAGCTCACCTAGTCTCTCCAACCCCAGCCACACCACCCTGCTGCTCCTGAAACAGACCAAGACACTCAGGCTGTCACTTCTGCTGTCCCCTACCTGCATCTTCACAACCTAGGCCACTTCTCACCTGACCAGGTGTGATGGCAGTTGCCACCATGCACTGTGTGCTGCCTTGCCCTAGCTGGCCGTCCATGCCAGCGCTCATTCCTCTTCTGAGCTCTGCGGGGACTTGGTGTTTGCCCTCCCGGCATCCTCAGCACGGAGCCCAGAGCCTGGTAGGTTGGTAGTGCTCACTTTCTACAACAAGGATTCATTCATCCTTGGAATGCCAAAGCATCTTGGGTGCTAGGGATCAGTGGGGCCGGCTTGCCCAGGTGGGGACTACAGCTGAGTGATGGGGACAACTTCCAGCCACTATGGGCAGGCTGAGGAGAGGGGCAGGATGGGACTTCCCGCGCTTCCCCCTAAGGCCAAGGCAGAGGCACTGAGAGGAAAGAAAGGCTTAGGTGCGGCTGTTGTAGCAGTGGACAGCAGGCGGAGACAGGGAGGAGCCAGGACTCTGGCCTTGTGCCCAGCCCCACAGGACATTCATTACCCGGCCACCTGGTGGTCCCCTACCATCAGAGACTGCTTGTGTGAGGCTCATCTCAGCAGAGAAAACCTCCATCCCACAGGGAGCCCCCCCAACACCCAGGCATGGCAAGTGCCCTGCTATCAGGCAGGCCAGTTTCCTGATGACGCAGCTGCCTTCTGCTGACTAGGAGTCCCTCTAGGTGGGGAGGCCATGCTCCCAGCCAGGCCCCAGGGAGGTGCAGGAAGCTTGCCCGTGCATGTGGGCAGCAGGGGTGAGGTGGGGCTGTGGGGATAGCTCACCTCTCCTGTTCCCTGCTCCTTTTGGGATGAGCTGAAGGCTGTGAGCCATTCCAGAAGCTGACGCAGTACGCAGTGTTGGCCAAGGGCCACGGGCTGCTTTGCCTTGTCCCCAGCCAGGACCCCAAGCCTGGTCCCAGCCTCACAGGCTCTTCAGGTGCCTGCTGCAGCCATGTTTTGCTCTAGTGACCTGAGCAAGTCCTCGCTCCTCCTCTCTTTTTTTTTGCAGTGCTGGGGATTGGACCCAGGGCCTTACATGTGAGGCGAGCACTCTGTCAACTGAGCTATACAACTCTTCTTGCTCCTTTCTGGATGGCAGCACACCCTCCTGGGCGCCTATTGTGAGTCGTGAGTCAGCTGCTCCCTCAGTACAGGCTGCATCCATAGGGGTCCCCATGGCTACATCTCCAGCCTCCCCTCCCATGTAGGAGCAGGGAACAGCGTCTCCTTTCCTAGAAAGGCCCAGTGCCAGACGGAGAGGCCTATGCAGCCAGAAAGAGCAGAGCCAGATGCTGCAAGATGCTCCTAAATCCCCCTGCTTGTGGGATTCCCCCCTCTCCCTGCAGGTGGCACCCATCTCACACTAAGTGACCAAGTAAAGGGATGGTGGCAGGACACACATCCCTCCCCCTCCCCAGTGAGGCCTGTGTGCAGTAATTATTAGCTCAAGACACTTGGATCAAGGCACATGGGGGGTGACCCAGATGGGAGCTGCAGGTGTGTCTAAAGCCCCACCCCCTGAGCAAGCTCCCCTCAGTCCCATGAGGGTCCCTCCATATCAGAAAGAATCTACAGTACAGGAAGATAAAGCCCCCTCAGGAAAATCACCCCACACAGTAACATGGACAGGGACACAAAGCCCTTCTCAAAAGCTGGAGCACATTCCTGAGAAAGCCCCCAGACACACAGCCAGTCTGCGTCCCTCCTAGATGGGGTGTCCTGGCCAATTCCCATGCCACCCGTAGGAAGGGGCACAGCTCCTGTCTCAGGTCAACATAGTGCGACCACTCCTGGAAACCCCATGCTTTCCCTCCCTGGGCAGAAGGAACAGGGGAGCCTGGTGCCTTGGCCTGCTCCTTGTCACACAGGGAGAAGTGGAGGGTGCTCCTCAGGCTAGGCCAAGGACATAGGGCCCCTGGAACATGCAAAAGGCTGTGAGCCTGTTTACTGTGCCTCAGTCAGTCCCCCACCAGTGTCCCCAGAACGCCAGGACAGCCCTGAGTATAGTCAGCAAAACCCCCGCTGGCCAGCGTTGCCAACCACAAACCCTCTGCCATGGGCCCCACCTTGGATGACCACATCCTGTACCCGCTATGGCCAGGCCAAGTAACTGGGCTGCACCTTTGCTCATGAGCAGCTGTAGGCCTCTCCAGGTCCAGGCATCCCGGGCTACCAGCTGCCAAGCAGGGCTTGGTCTCACAGCCATATCATGTTTAGGCCCCAGGTGGGTATCAGGGCCCAAGGGAGCCATACTGTCCAACCAGATACAACATGACCAGCTGAGGGAAGCCCTGCCCCAGGACGCACCTCCAAATCTGCTCAGTACCAGCAAGGGTGGAAAAGCTGTGGTTAAGGAACAACAGACAACCCATCACCAGCCTAGGAGGGGAGAGTACCAAGAGGAGGGGACTGTCACCACCAGTATGCCCAGAAGCCCGCGGCCCCTGGTGGCTGCCTTCGAAGAATGATGATTCAGAAGGAGAGGTGAAAGCGAGAGCCCCTGGAGCCAAGGTAGGGGGAAGTGGGGGGAAGCTCCGCTGTGCGACTCCCCCAAGCCCCGCAGAGCAGCAGGAAAGCCCACATTCTCCTCCCCCCACTCCAGCTCCAGTTTACTGAGCACTTACTACGGTGTGCAGGCCTTGACACAGCATTCCTGACACTACAAAACCGTGGGAATCACACCAGCCACTATGAATGAAGACCAGTTGGATTAAGAAAGGAAAAAGGAGCTCTGGGTATGGTGGCACATGCCTGTGATCTCAGTGGCTCGGGAGGCTGAGGCAGTAGGATCACAAGTTCAAAGCCAGCCTCAGCAACTTAGCAAGGCCCAAACGAGACCCGATCTCAAAATAAAATAAAAAATGGGCTGGGAATGTGCCTCAGTGACTAGGTACCCCCTGGGTTCGATTCCTGGTAGCAAAAAAGGAAAAAGACTGGAATAAAACTTAAAGAATTACTCATCTGGTCCCTTGGTAGGGAGGGCATTTCCAAGCAGAGAATGAAACCATAAAGATCAATGCCTGCATTTTCACTACCTTAACAAACCTCAATAGGCCAAGGAACTCAGGGACAAAATTGAAAAGTGAAATGAGAAATTAGGAAATGTTTGTAACCATGACAGAACTAGCTAATAATACCCATGACATGTGAAAGAGTACTCGCAAACCAGCAAGAAAAGGGCAGGCTGTGCAGAAGAGCAAGCAAAAGCAAATGACCTGGTAAGGTGTGAAAAGTGCATATGACCAAGAAGCCCAAGAGAAGCGTCCAAAGTCCACGGGGACAGAAAGTAGATCAGAGGCTACCAGAGACTGTGGGAGAGGGGACTGATTGAACTGACTACTGGCAGGCAAGGAAATTCTTTCTAAGGTCGGGGAAGTGCTCTAGATTAGTGGTGGCGGTTGTATATTATACACTTGAAGCAAATACAGTTTATGATACGGGAATTAGAGCTCAATTTTTTTTTAAAAGGGGAGGGATGGTCAGTCACTTATAATCCAAACAAGGTAAGTAAAGTACTTTTCACTGAGAAGTTGGTCAAGTTATTAAAAATAAAACCCAGTGGCCAGGCACAGTGGCACATGCCTGTAATCCCAGCAGCTCGGGAGGCAGAGGCAGGAGGATCATGAGTTCAAAGCCAGCCTCAACAATTTAGCGAGGCGCTTAAGCTAACTCAGTGAGACCCTGTCTCTAAGAAAATACAGAATAGGGGTGGGGAATGTGGCTCAGTGGTCGAGTGTCCCTGAATTCATCCCTGGTACCCAAAAATAAATACATAAATAAAACGCAATATAAATAAAACGCACTGCTGCACGGATAGTGATTAGGTGAGTATGACCTTTCTGGAAACCACTTGAAAAAGACTCATCAGAAGCATTAGAAATGGCTAATGACAGGCTGGGGTGCAGCCTGTTACCCACAGGACCCTGGGTTTGATGCTGGCACTACGCGCCGCACACAGAGCCTTCCTAAGCACATGAGGAGGTGCTCAACTTCATCAGCCCCGGGATGCATGTCAAACCACGAGGAAACCTGCACTGCTCTCGCCCATGACCCCTCCAGTACAGGCTGAGGCAGGAGGGTCACCAGTTCCAAGCCAGCTGAAAAAGAATTTTTTTTTGTCCAAAAAGAAAATACTGATCCATCTCTCTCTCTCTCTCTCTCTCTCTCTCTCTCTCTCTCTCACTCACACGCACACACACACACGAATCTTGGAAAACACAGTACTTAGTAAACTAAGCCAGATGCAGAAGACCACATATACTGCAATTCCATTTACACGGGACACCTAAAGTAGACAAATCTACAGAGAAAAAGCAGGCAGTGGTTCCAGGGCCTGGGAGAGGGAGGATTGGGGGTGGGGTAAAAGGTTTCTTTCTGAAATGATGAAAATGTTCTAAAATTAGAATACGATGGGGGTTGAACCCCTCTAAATGAGGGATCTTGTGGTGTGTGAATGCTCATAAAGCTGCGACTGGAGAGCATCACACTTGTCCGGGGCCTCCCCTGCCAGGAATGTCACCTCAGAGAACAATCAGAGAAGGGATCCAAAATTCCTGTGCAGAATGTTCAGGGCGTCTGCATCCAGCAGAAATGTCTGAAATGGGTCCTGACAATAAGGGAAGGGAGAAACCCCTCCCAGCCCTTCTCTGCCAGCTCATCACTGGGGCAGCCAATGTTTTAAAAAGACCTGGTAATGCAAAAGAGGTTCCTGTGGGGGGAGAGGGGAGCACCAGGTGATGGCAGCAGGAGGGGGCGGGGCCAGGCCTGGGCTCCACGGGCACCAAGGCAGTGCAGCCAGGGGGAGAGTGAGCCCTAAGGAATCACCACTGGGGCAGAGGTGACAATAACAGAGTACAAGGACATCTGCCTAAATGGCAATGCCGGGTCTCTTGGGCAGTGGGATGGCAGGGTTATTCAGTTACTTTTATAATTTCATCTGAGTTTTGTTAACTGAAAAACCAGACAGACGTGGAGACCCAGGTAGGTCAGTTTCCTAAATGACACACAGCTTTTGGAGGGGACAACACAGGCCCCGGTTCTAGAGGGTTCCCTAGAAAAACATCTCTTCTGCCCAGTCCCCACATGGACTTCGAACACCATCAGGCCTAGCAGGGACACCTGGGCAAGGGCCGTGTACTGTGACAGGGTCCAGGCAGCAGCCCTGTAGGTGAGTCCCCAGGCCAAGTGGCCCCCATCCACGGGTCCCAGGGGCAGACCCAGTGCTCAGCAGCTCCTGTGGCCTCTTCCCAGCTTGGAGAGGAGGTCAGAAAGAGGGTGCAGGGGCCCCAGAAAGGAAGCTGAGACGGCCCCTCCTGCTTTGGGGGAGGAAGCCCTGCTCCCCGCCCGCAAGGGCCTCAGCGCGGAGACCTTCTCGTGCCTTTGGTTTCCTTTTCCATTCACAGGGTGGGCGGGGGATTTCCACGGCGCCTGCCAGCGGGTGCCTGGAGGGGAGGACGCCCAGGCCTTCAATGCAGTGAGCCCCTTCTTCCACCCCTCAGGTGGGAGCACATCATGCCACGCCATCCCATAGTCTGTTTTGGGTTCAAAACAACTCAGCAAGGAAAGCACTGACATCCCATTTTTCCATAATGAGAAACTGAGGTTCAGAGAAGCCAAATTCTCAACCTAGTGCTACACAGCAAGGGCACAAGAGCCAAGATCTGAATTCAGCCATGTCTATCGTCCTCTGCAGCTACCCCACCACCCAGCCCACAGCCTCACCTCCCCAAATACACAGATACAAAACCAAAAGCCCATGGAACTGGGTGGGAGCGGGAACCGGCCAACGAGGCAGGATGGTGATGATAATCCTCCTGGCTAACACCCTCCCTGTGGACTTGGGCACCTTCTAGTCTGCAGATTCATAGAATTTGAGCTGAAAGGAAGCGCCTCGATACCATCTGCCCGCGGTTTCAGTGTGGCTGGGGTTTCTTCTAAACGCCAAAGCACTCTTCCAAAAACGATTTTGCACGGAACCCCAATGGGGGCAGCTGGGCTGCTGTGCGCATCTGGGGCCATTGGAGCCCTGCCTACCTCCTCCCTCCCACCAGTCCTGGAAAGCCTGGTTCAAGCCCCTGATCACCCACTTCAGAGCTCTGAGAGGGGCAGGCACCTGCTTGGGTCACACAGCAGCCCAAGGCAGGGAGAGGGCAGGATCCCTTCTTTCCCCTGGGGACCTTCTGCCTCTGGCCTACTCCAGGGAGATGGGACTGGGGAGCACTGGCCTCTTAAGCCCCCGTCTGTCCAGTGGTGTATGTGGGTGCTATGCAGACTCACCCAGCCTGAAACTGGGGGAGACAGGGGCACTTTCTCCACCTATATTGGGGGCCTTAACACAAACCCAGCCCTTGGTGCCTTGGTGAGCCCATGTGGAACCCCTTTTCTGGCTCCTGTGTGGTCTTAAACAAGTCTCCACCTCTCTGGGCCTCAAGTTTCCTGTCTGTGAGATGGTGGGTGGGTCCCTGCTCCCAAGGTCTGTGGTGAGGATTCCGTGGATGTGTCAAATATAGTGTCTGTAACATGGAAAACAAAGAGCTGCTGTGGTCATTGTCACCAAGCCCCGAGGGTGTTGGTGCTCCAGGCCCCCGCAGGGCAGCAGCTTGGCTAATTCTGCAGTGGGGCCTTTCTTCTGATTTTGCTTGGGGACCCAAGCAGAGAGGGCACCGTGTTGTCTTTCCCAAGGGCGGCAGCATGGACGGGGCAGAAACAGGACTGGAACCCAGGCCTGAGCACCACAGGCGGCCCCTGCCCACAGCTTCCTGCAGCCTGGCCTCCTCGGCCCCCTGTGCTCCCGCCTTGGAGAGGAAATGGCCAGGCCCCTGCGGTGGACCGCCCTTCCTTCTGCTTCCTCTCTCCCACAGGCGAGGCAGGGTGGCAGAGGCACCTCCCTGGCTCCACCCAGGCCCTGGCCTGTCTGCTCCTCTGGCCTTGGAGCCTTAGTTTCCTCGTCCCTGGGGCAGGTGCGCCAGGAGCTGCAGCAGGGGCAAACCGTCTGAAGGCCGACACTGGCCCTCTAGTGCGTTTTGCTGGCTTTGCTGCACAGGATTCAGGGCACGAGGGCCATCCCGCCTGGCTCTGCCCCTTCTGGCCCAACAGGCCACCAAAGAGCCCAGGATCAGAGAGGCCGAGCCCTGGTCCCAAGATGGCAGGCCCAAGCTGCTCGACGCCACCAGGCAGGGCTTTCTCCCCCAGGACAACAAGCTCGCAAGCAGGAACCATGACAGCTCCTTGCTGCAGCCTAGTGAGGCCTCATGTCCTCCTGCCCAAGGAAGCTGGCACACAAGGAGCAGCGGGGGATGGCTCTGAGCCACACTGGCCCCAAGGCTGCCTCCTCTTAGGAGTTCCCCAGGCCCACTGTGCAGGTGAAGGTCTAGGAGCCGCCACCTCCTTCCAGGAGGGACACTGAGAGACACACAGAGTGTGCTGGGTCCACCAGGTCCTGGGCATTCCTGATGAGGGCCCCTCTTCCCATTTGTCAACTGGTGGCCGAGGACATGGCCACAGGAGTTTTTCCTGCTCTGAGAGCCCAAAACAGGGAACCCGGCCAGGAAGGGCCCTTGTGAGAGCCCTCAGCTGCCCAGGTTCCAGCCTCCCTCGGCCACTCACAAGCTGCAGGCCCTTGAGCAGACCTTGCTCAGCCAGAGTGTCCCCATCTGTGAATGGGTGCCACAGGGCTGCCAAAAAGACTACCTGAAGCAGGTGAGCAAGGGCCTGGTGGATAAGGCACCCGCTAACGCTGGCTGAGCAGGCGTTCCTAAGAGGAGCTGGGCTCTATCACTGTCCTCTATCACTGTCCTGCTAGACACATAAGGAAGACTGAGACTCGGCCTCCAGGGCCATCCCAGCTGGCAGGCTCCGAGACCACCGTGGCCAACCCAGGCCTGGGCCTATGAGGGGACTGAGGCCCAAGACACCATTCTGCTCCATCTGAAATGGGCCCCTGGCTCCCAGGGAGGACATGCACCAAGGCCAGCACCCCAGCCCAGTAGCCTGATCTAGCCCAGTGGCCTGATCCAGCCCCTACCCTGCAGTGGCTCAGGCCAGGCCAACAGGGACCCTCCCACAGATGCCAGGTCCACTGAGTATATAAGAGGAGCCAGACACCTGGATTCTTTTTTTTTTTTTTTTAATTTTTAACATTTATTTATTAGTCTTCGGCAGACACAACATCTTTGTTTGTATGTGGTGCTGAGGATCGAACCGGGGCCGCACGCATGCCAGGCGAGCGCGCTACCGCTTGAGCCACAACCCCAGCCCCGGGACACCTGGATTCTTGTGTGGAATCTCTGCGTTTCATCTTCTTAAATATTGGCATATATATACCTTAAATATAAGGTGTCCCCCCCAAAGCTCCTGTCAATGCAGGGATATTCTGGGTGGTAACTGTAGGCAAGTGGGGCGAGGCTGGAGGAGGCGGGTCTCTAGATTGTGCCCTGGAAGGATCCATCTTCCCTGCAGATCCCTCCCCTATCTGCTTCCTGGCTGCCATGAGCTGAGCAGCTTCCCCATGCTGGGCCCTCCGCCATGAAGTGCTGCCTCACCATGGGCCCAGAGCAATGGAGTCGGCCGTCTGTAGACAGAGACCTCTGAAACCATGAATCCCAAATAACTTGTCATATACTTTGGTCATGGTGAAACCAAGCTGACTAAAACAGCAACTGACCCAATTCCCTATTTTCCTTTTAATACCAAGTGAGGTGGCACCTTTAGCTGCCCTGGCAGGAGCTGTCCTGCCTCTCTGTCAGTCGGAGCTGGTTCAACAGGGAGCTGGGGATAAGGGCGCCTCAGGTGCAGATCTCCTTAGCTGCAAGACCTAGAGCTCGCTTCTCTTTATGCCTCTCAGCCTCAGTTTCCTCATCTGTTCGATGAGTCAGTAAGCTCTGCCTCATGGGAGGGTCCTGGTGTCTGGGGCAGTGCTGATGCACACTGCGCACAGTCAAGGTCACAAGCACACACTGCCTATCCTGGTCCATCCCAGGCCCAGACCTGCCAGAGAAGGAGGGACTGCAGGATCAGGGGGCATGGAAACTCGAGGGTCTTCCAGGAGAAAAATCAGGCCAGCCTGGTGCCAACAGGCCACAGGTTACTCTGGAGAGTCCCTCTGGGCCACTGCCACCACTAAGTAGCCCTGGAAAGTGTCTTAGCCCTGGTTGTACCCACACCCTTAGCATAAAACCTAGAGTCCTCATCATGACCAAGAAGGCCTACCCTTCTCCAGTGTCATCCCTTCTTGCTCCATATACTCCAACCCCTGTGTTAGGGTCTGTAAACAAGTCAAGATGGCGCCTGGCATTTTGCCAGAGGGAGTGGTTTGTGAAGTAACGCCAGGGAGCCATTAAGTGTGGAGATTCCTTATTGGTTGACTGCTGTAACTAGTTTATGTTAATTAAGATAAGCTGTGTGGAATGTATATATACCCCTCCTGTCCTACAATAAACGGCTCCCACTCCTGCTGTATCAATCTACACAAGTTCCTCATCACCCCCCGGTTATTTTGCTGCAGCTGGACTGCGGGCACCCTGCGTGCCCGATTATTCCTGAACTTACCTAGTTCGTGTCCACCCCAGACCTTTGCATTTGCCATTTCCCCACCTAGACTTTAACTGCATCTCTCAGAGAAGGCTTTGCTGACCATCCCTCAGCAGAAGCCACCCCCTGCCCAGAACCTGAACTCAGCAGGAGAAACTGCCCAGCTTTTGCCCACCTACAGGGATACACCGAAACCAGAGGAAGTCTGTGACTTCTCTGCCTGTTTTCTGACTTTCAGAAATAGCCACAACCCTCCTCCAAGCCCCTGAGCAGGGCTGTAGCCCTCCGATGCACATACCCACTAAAATGGAGCTCGCTCCCATCACACCCCTCACAGTGACCCTGAGGGGCTGTTGTTGCCACCTCTACTTCAGACTGAGACTCCGAGTGGAGTCAGGGTCAGCTGGCCAGAGGCAGAGCTGGGACCCTCTGGGGGAGGCTGCCCCAGGAGCCTCTGCCAGGCGAAGTCCGAGACACAGGTGGGCAGCACCCTCTCACAGTCCTGGTGTTCCAGGCCCTTCCTGCTCCAAGCAGCAGGGGCCTCCACCAGGGTGGCATCTGTTCCCTCCCCCACAGGACACCGTGTAAGTGATGAGTTCAGGTGCAAATACAAAGCTAAGCACTCAGCCCCCCCCCACCAGCTGGATGCCAACCCCCACCTCCTACACAGTGCTGCTGCCATGGCCAACACTACGGTCAGAGGTCAAGGCTGACCAACTGGCAGGCGCAGGCAAGACTTGTGGTCTTGGCATCCTTGGCCCAGAGACCAAAGCTCTGAATCCCTGGGGAACACTCGGGAATGTCCGACTGCTCCACACAGCCGGAAGCTGTGGGAAGCTGCTAACTGGGCAGCTGTGCTAGAGAAGAGCCAGGGAGGCCTTGCCAGGGCTTCTCGCCTCACAGGTGACACCCACCAACCCATCTGGGTCAGAGACCCAGGTGGCTTGGGCAAGACGACAATGACCAGTCAACCTCCCATGCCCTGGCTGCTCTAGTGAGGCAGAACCCTGGGGAATGTGACGAGGCCCACCTTCAGCTACTTTGATGGCCCAAAGTAGCTCTGGAAATGAAGCGGTGCTCTCAGCCCCAGGTCGTCACCACAACAAACCACAGCACAGCACAACACAACGAGGACATAGCCCTGAGCACCACCCAGTCCAGGGGCTCAGGCTCACTCCCAGCCCTGCGTGGGGACCAGCCTGAGGCCCGGGGCTGGGGAGGAAGCCGATTCATGCAGGCTGGGTCCCTCAGACTCAGGCAGCTGGTGTCCAGATGGCTTATGTTAAACCGAAGCTGCTTTCCAGAGGGAAGTGGATGGGGAACGGGACCCCACCACAGACAGACAGGTACAACCAGGTCTGGGGCCCAGTCCTTGCCTTCTGTGGCCTCAAGCTTCACTATGAACAACAAGAAAACAGTTTTTACCCGCCCTGCCTTTTCCTGAAGCTTCCAGTGGTGTCTGGAAGACAATTTTCCACCCACAGAGCTGCCCTGCTTCCCTCTACCACTCTGGCTCTTTCCTTGTTCTTCCTTCCAAACACACTGAACACTTTCCTACCTCAGGGACTTTGCCCAGGTTTTTACTTCTGCCTGGATCTGAGTTCAGTCTAGTCACATCTCAAGACACCAAGCAAGTAGAGCATGTAGGCACATGTCTGTGATCTCAGTGACTCAGGAGGCTGAAGCAGGAGGATCACAAGTCCGAGGCCAGCCTCAGCAAGTTAGTGAGATCCTCTTAAAAAAAAAAAAGACTCTTGATAAAACTTTGGCAATTAAGACAATGTGGTGATGTGGTGTTGGCACAGGACAGACACATAAGCAATGGGACAAAATACAGCCTGGAAGCACATCTCCAGAGATGGACACTGCATTAGGACAGGGGGCACTACAGTCCAACAGGAGAGGAAACCACAGGAGCACATTTCGCGGGGAGGAGCAGCCAGGTTTTCATAGGTGAGAGAGGACAAGGGTAGCCCCACCACACACAAAACCCAGTCCAGACAGCTCCCAGTCCAATATGGGAGGAGGCCCAAAAACAAGGTCTCCAGAAGAAAAGGCAAGAAAATGTCTTCAGGACCTCAGAGGGCAAAGATTTCTTAAGCAGGACACAAAAAGCAGTAACCATAAAGGAAACAGTTGATAAACCAGAGTTCACTAAAATTAAGAACTTCCGCTGGTGAAATGGCAGCCTGCGATGCTTAGGATGCAATCTCCAGCACACACACAATATAGAAATAAACATGCGAAATCCTTACAAATCAGTAAGTAAAGGAAAGACAGACAATGAAAACCAGAGTCCCTTCATAAAAGACTAAATTCAATGGCCCACAAACATGGATGGTCTTCAGGGAATGCAAATTAAATCCACGTTAAGACTCGGTTCCCCTGGAGAATGGCAACTGAGGGCTCCAACTCCAAGTGCTGACCAGGCCCACAACCAGGGACACTCCTCTAGGACTGCCAGAACGCAGCAGCGCAGCTGCGACAAGAAACTGCCAGATTTTCCCCAAAGTTAAGCAAGCACTTAGTGCACGGATCCCCAGGAGAAATCACAGCAGACATCCCTCCAAGGAACTACAGGCAGTGCTCAGCTCACTGCAGTGGCACTGCGGCTGTGGGGTGCAAGTGCTAGTACGGAGGAGGCACAGGGAGCCTGTGCTGGGTTCCTTGGGTGCACACTTAGACATACTCAGGGACCTCAGCACACGTGGGCTACACCACAATTATTTAAACAGGTCACCGCACATGTGAGGGCCCTCCAAACTGGGCCCCTCTGTATCCCCCCCAGAAACTTCGCTGCTTTTCCTTTAGAACACAATTTACTGTTTGTAATTCTGGGCTTTTTCTTCCCGTAGCTTCCCCTAGCACCCAGCACCACTTGTTCCCACAGATCCAGAATGCATCTGGCAAAGAACGGCGGTCAGCCCACCAGGCAACCCAGGCCCTCAGGACTGCACTCACCCTACACGTAGGAGTTCAGTTGGGTCCAAGGAAAAGGACAAGGTTTTAATACTGGGAAGAAAAATAAGTCATGGAAAAACACAGGGGGTGCTAAGGAATCAGCGCTGAAACCTCTTGAAATAATACACCTATTTGTCACTGTCAGCTCAGTCAGAATTTTCAAGGACTTTGGGCCGAGTTGCCACCACCCCACACGTGAACCACGAAAGGTATCCCTGACACCCAATGGAATCCTTGACCTGAACACCAAAAACGTCAAACGGCCAGGCGGCGCCTAAGGAGGGACAATAGCTAAACCTCATGTGGCATCTGGCACCATCCTGCACAAAGAGGCAAACGCCGCCAGGGCTGGCCCCCGACTTAGGACAAACATATATATCAACACAGGTGCCAGCATGGCATTTCCCCTGCGTCCTTCTCGCTAACCCAAAACGACAGAAGCCTGAAATGCCAGCCCATCAGCAGCAGGAGAACCGCAAGTTCCAGGCCAGCCCGCGCAATCTAGCGAGACCCCGACTCAAAATTAAACGGGCTGGGGATGCAGTGGGAGACAGAGCGCTTGCCTAGCACGCAGGAGGCCTGGTTCAGCCCGTAGCGTCGCCAAAAAGCGAATCAAAGGAGACGACTCCTAGTTAGACCTTCCTCTGGGCACTCAGCCACCTGCAGGGGGCTCCCACCCTCCCCCGTCACCAACGGCGGCAGGCTGGCTGGGACTTACCTTGGGCGGGTCGAAGAGCTCCAGCACGCGGTCGGGGCCGCCGTCGGGGCCCTCGGCACAGCGCAGCGCCAGCCTCCCGCGCTGCCAGCGCGCGCCACTGTCCATGGACGCCTCGTCCGCCAGGCTGTAGCGCAGCGCCGCCTCCTTGAGGGCCTCAGGCGGCGGCTCCCGGGCCAAGCTCCAGGGCAGCAGCTTCCTGGCCAGGCCGGGCCTGGCGGGGGCCTCGGCCAGCTCCCCAGCCGCGGCGGCAGGCAGCTCCCCAGCCGACCGGCGGCGGAAGATGAGGCGCAGGCTGCGGCGCAGGTGCTGGAGGGAGCAGGAGCCGGGAGGCCGCGGCGAGGCCAGCTCCTCCGAGCTGCGGGCCTTGGGCAGCGCGGGGGTGGCGGGGCCGGGGCCCGGCTCGGCAGCGGGCGCCTCGGCCTTGGTGGGGGATCCGCGGCCCGTCTCGCGGTAGTCGCGCCCAGGCGCCCGGGCCTCGCGCGCCTCGCGCACCTCACGGCAGAAGTATCGCTGGAAGAGGTCGGTGAACTGCAGCGACACGAGCTCAGCGCGCAGCGGCGCCTGGTGCGGGTGCTCGCGGGCGAAGAGCCAGTACTGGCGGGCCAGCTCGCGGGCGGCCGCCACCGCGTGCAGCTCGCAGAACTCGCTCCAGCCCCGAGGGGACGGGGTCGCCGCTGCAGGCAGAGAGGCGGAGGGGGCCAAGGGCGTGGAGGAGGTCGAGGAAGGCTGCAGAGTGGGCCCGTTCATGGTGGAGACCGAGGTGGGGCGGCCAGGCTGAAAGACACGGAGGTGGGCAATGAGAACTGGGCCTGCAGGTGAGTCACAGACTGCAGGGCTCCCGCCGTGTTCCCAGGGTACAGTACAAGACCTCCAGTGTATTCCTGAACCTGGGGACACTAACTCGACCCTGTAACGGCTCTGGTTGGTGAGTGACAGGAGTGCAGAATATATGGCATGGACACAACAAACAAATGACTAATGTCCAGACTAGACAATTAGTTCCACATCCTGGGAGATTTCCTCACACAGACGCGTGCACATATAAAATTTATGAATTATTTATTTCTGGCATTTTCCATTTAATATTTTTGTATTCTGGTTGACCACAAGTAACTAAGACCACACACACACACACACACACACACACACACACACGAAACCTTGGATAAGCAGGACTGCTATATTTCAAACCACCAACAGGAGACAAATTATTCACCCCACACAACATCAAAAATTAGCACACTTATAATTCCTGCTACTCAGGGGATGCTGAGACAAGAAGACTGCAAGTTTGAGTCCAGTCTCCTCAATTTACCAAGATTCTGTCTTGAAATTTATTTATTTATTTATTTATTTATTTTTTAAATTTTTTTTAATATTTATTTTTCAGTTTTCGGTGGACACAACATCTTTATTTTATTTTTATGTGGTGCTGAGGATCGAACCTAGTGCCCCCCGCATGCCATGCGAGCGCGTTACCGCTTGAGCCACATCCACAGCCCCTGTCTTGAAATTTAAAAAAGGGCTGGGTATGTAGCTCAATGGTAAATGCCCCATTGGTTCAATCCCCAGAGCAGAAAAGAAACAAACAAACAAAAATTAAGCAGGAGCCAGGTGGGGTGATAGACACCTGTAATCCCAGCTACTTAAGAGGCTGAGGCAGGAGGATCACAAGTTAGAGGCCAGCCTGGGAAACTTAGTGAGACCCTGTGTCTAAAATAAAATTAGATTAAAATTTTAAATTACCAATAATACCCAGCGTTGCAATAGGCACTTTCCTACAATGTTCCATCAGGTGATCTGACTTTTTTTTTCTTCATACCTTTATTTCGCTTATTTTTATGTGTATTTTTATGTGGTACTGAAGCTCAAACCCAGTGCCTCACACATTGCTAGGCGAGCACTCTGCCAGCCCAGGTGGGTTACAAGACAATCTGCCAAGAGCAACGTCAGACCCATCATCCCACTTTCACTTAAGAGACATACACAGGCATGTACAGGACAATTCCCTGTGAGGCATCTCCTGCCACCGTGTTTTTAATGGTGAAAAAAATAGACAGAACCAAATGCCCATCAGCCAGAAACTAGTGAGATAAACTGTGGTACAACTGCAGGCTGGAATATTCCACAGCAGCTTGAAAGGATGAGGAAGATCTATTCTACCACCTCCCAGAGAGCTGTAAGGCACACCATTAAGCAAAAAAGGCAAACCAGGTGGCGCACGCCTGCAATCCCAGTGGCTTGAAAGGCTGAGGCAGGAGGATCATAAGTTCAAAGCCAGCCTCAGCAACTTAGCGAGGCCCTAAGCAACTCAGCAAGACATTCTTTCTAAATAAAATATCAAAAAAGGCCTGGGTTGGGGGCTGGGGCTGTAGCTCAGTGGCAAAACGCTTGCTTAGCATGTATGAGGCTCTGGGTTCGATCCTTAGTACCACATAAAAATAAATAAATAAAAGCATTCTGTCCATCTACAACTACAAAAAAAAATTTTTTTTCTTAAGTCCTGGGGATATATCTCAGTGGTTAAGCATCCCTAAAATCAACCCCCAGTACCAAAAAAAGGCAAACCACAGAACACAAACTGTACATTCTATTTACATAAACAGTTCCATAAAATCAAACTACGTATGTACATAAACATATTTAAATGGTGAGCCAGGCCCAGCATGGTGGTGTGTGCCTATAATCCCAGATACTTGGGAAGCTGAAGCAAGAAGATCACGTTTGAGGTCAGCCTCAGCAAAATAAAAAAAGAACTGGGGTGGGGGCTGGGGCTGTAGCTCAGGGGCAGAGTGCTTGCCTAGCATGTGTTAGGCACTGGGTTCGATTCTTAGTACCACATAAAAATAAATAAATAAAAGCATTCTGTCCATCTACAACTACAAAAGAAAAAAATTTTAATGTAGCTCAGTGATAAAGAACCCCTGGGTTCAATCCCCAGTATGGGGAGGTGGGGGTGGGTAGGTGAGCAAGAAGGGCATGGCAGAAGCAAACCCATCCTGAAATGGTACCCTCTGGGAAAGAGCCCAATTTGGGGTGCCGGGGTAATAACCAAGGAAAAGTTACTGCCTCTCTAGAATATGGTCAAGAAGATGAATTCTGGAGCCTGGGTTCAAATCCCAATGCTGCCACTTACTGGTTAGATAACCCTGATTAATTCATCGTACTTCCTTCTGCCTTGGTTTCCCACCTTACCTACCTTATGAGTGTAATAAAGATTGAGTCAATAAATATAAAGATCTTAGAACCTAGGAAGAGCTTAGTAAGAACTGGCTGCTGTTATCCTATTTAAATGTTATAATAATAGTGTACTGATGTCTACACAAATAAATATAAAACAACAAATAAAAAGGAATACATTCACAAGACTCACAGGGTTCAAAGGCCTCTCTTGCTCTGCCAGGCCCTCTCAGGACAGGCAGACCCTTGCCTGCTCCCCAGTGGGGGCTTCAACTCCCATGGCCAAGGGCCCCCCCTTAAGTATAAGATAATCAAAATGGCATTATGTCTCCCGCTGTCCTCGGTGCTGAACAATTCATGCTTTAGCAGTTACCTATCAGGGTCTCCTTTCTCCCTCCCAAGCCTGGCTAGGCCTGGGCCTTACCCCTGCTGGGGACCATACATCTATGCTTGTTCTTCAGGATGGAGAATAAGAAATGCCTTCTCTGCTCTGGCACAGAGTCAGGCACAGAATCCCTGATAAGCAGGAATAGTGGATGGTGCCATCCAATACCACTCCCTGACAGGGCAGGGGCGGCAGTCAGGAAGGAGAACAGGTGGGAGAGCTCTGAGGACAAATGGGGCCTCTGTCCACTTCCTCATTCACTCCCCCAATATTACTGAAGCCCGCTGTGTGTCAGGCAGTGCGCTGGGCCCTGGGGACATATGGAGAACAAGAAAAAACCCCTGCCCACCTGAGGCTCACTTGACAAAGGGAGCCAGTGTTGGTGGTGTGGTCTGTGATACCTGACTGGACCTCTCCAAACCTTGGTTTCCTCATCTGCCAAGCAGGTCACACAAACATCCACCTCAAGTGACATTTGTTAGGAATTGTTGAGAGGGTCTCAAGTTGGAGGTCAGAACTCAGAATGGAGTTCTTCCGGCCATACTCTGCTTCATGTGCACCTTCTCCCTGTGCTGCCCCATCACACTGGGCACACCTACAGGGTAGCAGTAATGACAGGGCCACCCCCACCATCTCCGAGCCTCCCTGGTGACACTGTGTTGGTGGCAGGATACCCCAGTTGGCACTTGCTGGGAGGGTGCTCTGCACACAGCAGACACTCTGCACAGTGAGCAGTCAGGAAAGGCAGGCAGGCAGGTCGTGCATGGTGATGACTGCCTATAGCCCCCCGTGACTCGGGAGGCTGAAGCAAGAGGATCACAAGTTTGAGTCCAGTGTGTACAACTTAGCAAGATCCTGTCTCAAAAACAGAAGGGGTTGGGGTGTAGCTCAGAGGTAGAGCACCTTGGGTTCAGTCCTCAGCACCACCAAAAAAAAAAGTAAAAGAGTTGGCAGGCAGAAAGGAAGTGGGCCACATCTGCCCTGGGCCACCTCCTTCTGCCTTTTGCTGAAGGGCATCTGTCCCTGGGCAGCCCTATAGTTCCACACACTCAGGCTGTGACACAGGTAAGGCAGGCGCTGCTCTCTTGACTCTCAGGACCCCAGAGAGCTCTGATTCCAGCCCCACCCAGCCCAAGTGGCCTGCCAGCCACACTGGCCACCTCTGAGCAGTGGTGCTAGTTGTTCCCTGTCCTGTCCACTCTCTGTCTGCTTCCAGTGGAACACAAAGAAGCCTGCCAGATGTGTTAAGACCTAGACTTGTCCTCTAGCACACGGGTCACATGCTATCCCACAGCAGCCAAGGCGACTTCATCAGTGATGATCCCTGTCAGCATGTGGGCTCCTTGAGGCTACACTACCTGCTTGAGAGCCAGCTCCTAGCATACAGCAGAAGCTCAATGAATGCTTATGGCATGAACAAACAAAAGAAATGGCTGGACTTGGAACCTCTCTGGCTCTTTTGACAGAGGCATGCAGCCAGCATCAACTAATGGCCACCTCCCCTAGGCCTCTGTCCACACCTGCTCCTTTGTCTGGAATACCTGTCCCTGTCCACTGCCATACATCAGAATCTTGAAGCCCAGCTGCAGGAGTCTCCCACACCCTGTCACTATCCAGGCCAGGGTGGGGAACACTTATTACACCTGTTCCCAGGTCTTCCTGTGAAGGACATCTACTGCGTTCTTGCCATACTCTGGGCTTTGTGTTTTTTTTTTTGTTGTTGTTTTTTAAAAACATTCTACCCAGCATGGTGGCACACGCCGGTAATCCTAGCGGCTCAGGAGGCTGAGGCAGGATGATCCCAAGTTCAAAGCCAGGCTCAGCAAAGGTGAGGCACTAAGCAACTCAGTGAGACCCTGTCTCTAAATAAAATACAAAATTTATGGCAGAGGCTGGGGATGTGGCTCAGTGGGCAAATGTCCCTGAGTTCAATCCCCAGTACCCTCCCCCTATAAAAACAAAGAGCATTCAACCTCTACATCTGAGCTACATCCCCGACACTTTTTATTTTGAGACAGGGTCTTGCTACTTTGCCCAGGCTGGCCTGAAACTTGCCCTCCTCCTGCCTCAGGCTCAAGAGTCACCCAGGCACTTGGCCACCAGTAGGTGTTGTTCTAATCCTTAGGTGAAGCATCAGCTCTCACAAGCTCAGGACAGCGCAAGGAGGTAGGTCCAATTATGGCTCCCATTTTGCAGACAGAGAAAGTGA